CCCCCCCCAAAAAAAAAGGATCACAGATGGTCTCTTGAAAGACACAATCTCTTGTGATCTTGACCTGTTCCATATTTTCATCGTTAAGATAAGGAGCCATACACATCTAGTCACGACGATGCAACAGCACATTTCGTGGCCAGCAGGTAGTCTCCTCGAGAAGGAAGCCCTAAGCGAGTCAACACAGTCGCTGCGACGCCAGAACGCTAGGGGCTCCCCTCGAATCGGGTCTTGAGAGAGACGATGCCTTTCCAAGGGGAGTAAGTACCTGATACAAACGGAGCACGTACCCCTCTGGCTTGGACCCTGATATGGAGGGCATCCTACAGTAAACCATACGGATGCTATGTGCATGATCCATCCGCTGCTAAGTAGGATACGACGCGATTCAATCGCACCGGTAGAAAAGGGTTTTTCACACGACAGCGGGAGGCGAATCGGGGGACAGTAATGCAAGAGATAATCTGTTGTAGTCGTGTGATACAGTTAGAGAATGGCTGGTTGGATGTTATCCTTAGAGTTTGCTTAATCCTTCTGGAACAGAGACCTAACGGATTCTCCAACATGGTTGTTTCTCGGACAATATTTCAATAGGCTGCACGCAAATTGAAGCCCAGCCACAGCCTCAATCTCTATTTCAACCTCAACCTCTCCATTCCATGTCGGTCTCCCACCGTGAGACTGGTTCATCTGGGCCGGCCCTTTGGAGTCCAACAGCGAATATTCACGAAGTCACCTTTCTGAGATCAATTACTCGAAGCTTATCAGGTTATCTATGAGGTAGCGGGGGTGGTGGGGGTACAAAATCCCCTTGGACGATCGCCAACGGTGTTGGACCCTTCGATTTAAACTCTATAATCAAATTCAAAAACGACCAGGGGCCATACAAAGTTCTCCGATTGCTATACCCACGGTCTCCACAGCACCTGCAGCTCTGACGCCATCGCAAGTGACTTGGTGGCTGAGTGACGCGCAAGCGACACAGAAGTACCCCCGACGCTCTGATATTGCCAATGCTCGCGAGTTTATAGCGGAGCTACCAGCTGATAAGAAGGATGACACGGATCAATGCGTTTCCCAATAGAACTGTTACTTGGCAGAGCCCAACTTGCTAAGGTTCGCCAGCTGAGGTCTCGTGGTAGGATGATCGAGATAAGTGGAAATCTGGGCTCCCACATGGTTGGGCATCACCCCGCAGTCATTGCATTAGTGTTGGAATAGTGTTAGAGCATCCCCGGAGTCTAACCCCAGATCTTGTCGCTCGGGCAGTCTTGGCAGTGGATGTTGATGGGAAAACGTGCAGGATGATGAATCATGATAGCTCTCCCAGGAGTTGGCAAGGACACCGCCCTTTGCGAGGATTAAAGCTTCGCAGAATTGTGCAAGCGATGAATATCATTATCTAACCAGACCTCTCCACAGCATGATGTCACGGACCATATTTAAGCTTATAAGGATCCCTGCTACTTACAGGGTCATCCTTATCTCGTATGTTTCTCGATCATAATCTCTCGGCCGCTTTGATTTCCTTTGGCCTTAAATCGATCCGTGCCTTCTGAAAATGTCGGCATCAGACAGTGCCGATGAGAAGCAACCTGTTGCTCAGCATGTGGACAGTGTCAGGAGTCTCGTCACCATCGACAATATCCAAGTGCTCGGTCTGAGTCGCGAGGATACCCAGTTCTACACAGATTTCTCGGCGGAACAGAAAAAGGCACTACTGTGGAAGGTATATTCTCCGAAATCTGATACACTGGGATTCAAGTTAATGTGTGCCACGTGAAATCAGATCGATATTCGCTTGGTGCCAATGCTGGCTGTGCTTTACTTGATTTCTCAGATTGACCGAGCCAACATCGGCAATGCAAAGATTGAAGGACTCACGGAAGACTTACGACTCAGTGGCATCCAGTATAACATTGTATTGAGCATCTTCTTCGTTCCCTATGTGCTTCTGGGTAAGCATGCAACTACACCCGGAGAGTCTACACGCTAACTGTCAGTGCAGAGGTACCGAGTAATATGCTGCTCAAGAGCTTTTTCAGGCCTTCAATCTATCTGGGAATTCTCATTACTGGCTGGGGAATTGTGATGACCCTAACAGGCATTGTACAAAACTTCGCTGGCATGCTCGTCACTCGTCTCCTACTGGGTGTCTTCGAGTATGTCCCCTTTTCCCAGGTTATATCGTCAATCATATATTAGCATTGCTAATGATTCCTACAGAGCAGGATTCTACCCCGCAGCAGTATATCTATGCACATTCTGGTATATGCCCAAGGACCTCGCCTACCGCATTTCGATCTTTTACTGTGCTAGTGCTCTCTCCGGGGCTTTCTCGGGTCTTCTAGCCGCCGGCATTGCCCAAATGGATGGAATTGGCGGCCAGGAGGGTTGGCGGTGGATTTTCCTGCTAGAGGGACTTGCGACGGTAGTTCTTGGAGTGATGTGTTTCTTCCTGCTGATTGATTCACCGAGCACATCGAGCAAGTGGCTTCGCCCCGACGAAATACGATACCTTGAGCTGCAACATTTCATTAAAGAAGGCGGCGATTTCAAACAAGAAAGGAAGAGGGTTTCATGGGAGGAGCTTAAAGCTGTCTTTCTCAACTGGAGGCTGTATATGATGGCGTACATCTTGCTCTGCCAATCTGCCTCCGCCTACGGTTAGTTGACTGCCCTGAGAACTTGTGGCATGTTGCACTCATCATGGAATACACAGGCCTCAAATTCACCATGCCTACCATCACGAAGGCCATGGGATTTACCAATACCAACGCGCAACTCATGGTTGCGCCCCCTTATATCGCGGGTGCCATCTCCGCCATCTGTTTCTCTAAACTGTCTGACCGCTTCTACTGGCGAATGCCCTTCGTTGTGATACCATTGGCGGTGGTCACGATTGGCTACTCAATCGTTATCTCGTTCCATGGACGAATGAAGGACAATGTTGGCCCTAGCTACTTCGCCATGATACTTGCATGTATGGGGCTGTACCCGGTCCACCCTGCGACGAGCACATGGTTGGCCAACAACCTGGCTCCGTCTGGGCGCAGAGCTATTGGCCTTGCATTTAGTATCTGCATTGGAAATGCCGGTGGCGTGATCGGTAGTTATATGTACATGGATAAGGAGGCCCCCACGTATTATACCGGGTTTGGCTTGTCACTTGCTTTCGGTGGGTCTGGTTTGATTGTAGCGCTTCTGCTGGAGCTCTCATTTATTTATGCCAACCGGAGGAAGGCAGCCCAGTCTGAATCGGAGATCAGAGAGCGGTACACAGACGATCAATTGTTGGCAATGGGTGACAAGTCTCCTCTATTCAAGTACACTCTGTGAGTGTCTCTTATGATCTTGTTTTATGTCAGGTTAAGCGTGAGTATTTCAAGCTTTGCAATATAAGTAACAATGTCATTCTTCGAGAGATCGAATGCCCTGTTATGCGATTGTCTCTACAAGTTCCTATTAGGGCATCTTAGTAGCACAATTCACCCTCGGATTTCGAATGCAGGGATTGCTCAACGACTGGTGGTACACATGTGTATAGAGATGGGGTCAAATTGGAATAATTGGTATGTAGATTTGTTCCTCTATTGACATCTAGACGAACGAATGAAACCAAGAAACCTAACAAGAACAACGACAACGGTACGCTAGAAGCATTCTAATACAAAGAAAACCAGATCACAAATTCAGAAAGCCCTGAACAACATCCTCTACTTCTTGCAGCATATTCTCCATCGGTTGATTAGAATCTAGCGAGATCACGTCACTTTCAGACCCAGATGGACCCTCCAACGTCTCCAGTTGCGAGTCAACCATAGCCGAGCTCATATAGTGACCCTCCTTAGCGGACCGAGCAACGAGCCGGTCCCTCAGCTGTGCTCGATCTTTGATTGACAACATAAGGAAGGTAACATTGACGGGGAAGTCAAAGAGTAGTGACAAGCGCCGCAGTTCGTCCCGGTAGATAGTCCGCAGCGCCGAGCAAGTGACTACGACCGCTGGTGCCGCTGAGTGTTGAAGTCGGTCCATCACTGCTCCACGAATATGAGCCAACCAGTCCCACCGGTCGCTGTCGGTGAGAGGATTATTGTTGGCCATCCGCTGTCGGGAAGCTGGCGAGTGGAGATCGTCACCCTCAATGATGGGTATATTAAATCGTTGCGCCAGTGCCTGCGCCGCAGTACTCTTACCGCAGCCGCAAGGACCTGCCAGGAAGATGACCTCGCGGGTCATCTTGGGCACAGATGTTGTTTCCTTGTTTGCCCAGCAATGGCTTTGGAAATATGCCATGAAACGTGATACAAACCGTGCGTTTAACCCTCCCGCCTGGCGGAGAGCTGGTGCACCGGCCTGAGCTTTCTTTGTGTCGTAGAGGAGGACTCGACTCGGCCGATCATGGTCGTACTTGCTGGCAAAAAACTCGATCAGCTTGATAGGAGGATTCTCGGCTGGATCTGGGTTAGAATGACGCAGACGTTTCAACCATTCGCGCTGGGGCAATTGCTCGAATTCTAGCCCAGCGGCTTTGAGCAGCGGAAGCAGGTCGCGAGTCCAATGACTGAGCGTGGGGTTGGTAAGGTTCACTATGTCTGCTGCGTCTGTTCCCAATGTAAGTTCAATGACGCTGTTGGCAATGACATCAACAGGGGTCCAGGAGAGAACATCGTCCAGCTGAGGAAGAGCCTTGATGGTCTTTGCCGTCTGGAGGATCATGGGAATAGCCTCTGTAGCATTCCAGACGCCATGGGCGGTGTCTGCAACAATTTGGCCTACACGTAAGACTCGGGCAGCGATGTTAGTGTGTTGCGCCGCGCGGTTGACGATGTGTTCTGTCACTAGCTTTGACTGCGCATAGCCCATGTTTTGGGCGTATGCCAAAGACTCAGGCAGCTCTTCCGGTACCCAGTGTCCTGGGGTCCGAGCCACTGTGCTGACAGACGAGCAGAAGGAGAATCTTGCGGGCATAGGCCCCTGTGCGTCCAGACAGAGATCGAGCAGATGACGAGTCGCGGCAATACAGCTATCCTCGAAACTGTCCAGAGACCAGTTGAAATTGACTGACCAAGCACAGTGGATCACGGCGGTCAGCGACTGAATCAACTGTGTGTATGTGGTTTCATCCAAGCCGAGGCGAGACGTATTCGAGAGTTGCGCGGGCAAAGCAACGATCTTGCGTTCATCAGCGGGACTTAAGCTGTACAATAGACCACGTTCATAAAGAGATTGTCGCACCCGGCGAAGGGCAGAGTGCACAGAATCTGCCCGAACCAGGCAAAAAACTGTCTGGACATGTTCCATTTGGACCAGCTGGGCAACGAGGTGCGCTCCCAACGAGCCGGTAGCCCCAGTCACAGCGATGCGCTCCCCATCTATGGCTTGCGGTACCGGAATATGCGTTTTAAAATTCTTGCTATACTTCTCAATCAGCTGCGACATCTGTTCTTCGATGGGCATCTGTTTGTCCGCATCGAGCCCCAGGCGGAGCCGGGTGATTTCACCTGCCATGCGCTGAATCGAGGGGTGTTCAAACACGAAGTTTTGGGATAGTTTTTGACCACCGAGGTTGAGCGTCTTGACGATTTCTTTGCGTAAGCGAATTGACTGTAAACTGTCGACACCCAGACTGAATACGTCGGTGGTATCCTCCAACACAGCAGAATCGACGGTTGGCGCTACTTCTAGCAAGCTTTCGCGGAGAAAGTCATTCAACTCAGTTCCCTCAAGAACTTGATCACCAGTAGCATCACCCTGCTCATAGACCTGCTCAATCTGCTCCTGGAAATCGCGATAGAATGCAGAGCGGATAACGGTTCCTTTGTCCGTTGCGCGATATACCGTATTGGAAGGGAGGACTTGGATCATATCACGCGAAATGTGAGCATAAGATGGGGAGTCCGCATTGCACATTTCGATGGCCGGCCAGACCGCATCAATGATCTCTTCGTCCGTCTTACTCACAGCGTCCGCTGCACGAACGAGGAATAACCCCAGACGATCCTTGTTGGCACCGAAGGCAATTGCCTCGCCCACATCCGGATGATTACGAGCGACGCCCTCGATAATGAGCGGATTAGCCTTTTCACCATTCTCCAACACCAGTGTATCGTCCAGTCGAGCGTAGTAACGCCAGGCATTCGGCTTGGTGGGGTGCTTCTCAAATAGATCCTTGGTGGCATAGGATCCATCAGGGCAGTTGCTAGCCACCTTCGATGGCCAGCCCTCTAGGACAGAAAGTTCGTAGATCCCAGGAAGTCGCTCCTCCCATCGAATATATGGTAGCAAGGAGGGACCTGGTCGAACATAATCCCAGTCTAGATCTGAGCGCTCCCGGAAGGATGTCATCAGTTGTCCCGTTTCAGTGGTCCCATAATGGGAGACTAGTAAAGTCCCATTCTGCACGAGTGTGTCGCCAATCGGCTTGGGACAGGACGAGCCCCCAAACATGACCAGCTCCATCCGCGCCAAGGACTCCAGGCCCTGTGCCGACTCGGAAAGAAGTTTTAAGGCGTATGGAACGGCATAGAGCACTTGAATGTCCGGGTGTCCCTGCAGAGTGGATAGTAAGTATGAGACTGTCAATGGCAGCTTCGCATTGTACATATAGATTAGCTTCTGGGAGTGAATTGCTCGGAACAGACAGCTGATGCCGTGGGCATGAAAGAGGGGCAGGGTGATAAATCCCTTGAGACCAAAATTATTGGCGTAATTTTTCAACGCACCCGCATGCGTTTGATAGATCGGCTTGGGGTGTCCTGTTGAGCCACTCGAATGGATGATCCAGCATACATTCTTGGCCTCCGTCGGCCCGTCAAGATTGTTGGCGTCGAGAACCAGCTTGCCGGTAGTGGAGTTGTCATAGTCCTCGCGCTTCAACACTGGCTGTACTGCAACACCCGTCCTACTGCTTACGCTGTCCGCCATAGCCTTGAAACCATCTTGTGCGATGAGAAAAGAGGCCTTGGTGGCGTCAAGCAGACTGACATAGGCATCCTCGGCGATGCGCGTAGAAAGCAACAGTACTGTGTGTCCCAGTCTTGAAATGGCCATCAATGTGATGAGGTATTCAAAATCAGAGGGGCCCAGTAAACCCACGACTTGCACAGGATCCTCCGATGATCGACGTTGGGGAATTACCTCCGCATAGTGAACAGCCGCGGTCTCCACAAAGTCATCTAACTGTGATTCTGGATTAGTACTTGGTTGGATCTTTATGGTGACTCCCGTTAGGGCGGGATTGGTAAAGTCCGTACCTGGCGAGGAGTATAGTATGCATACTCGATGTCCTGAGAAGGGTACGCGACAATAGGCTCGCCAGCGGCTTTTCCGTTGGCTCGCGCGAGCAGGAGGTCGTGTATGGTGTAGATCTCTCGTTCGGGTTCCTCGTACTCGTCATTCGACGTGGCTGGAGATGAGACTTCTGGGGAAGCAGAGGCAGCCTCCGACGAAGCCGGCGAGGATAATGCCGGTAATGATGGCACTGTACAGGCCATGGTAAGGGGGTACCTCAGTTCACGACAGTTGTCTCGCTGTCCTTGCCGTTGCGCTGCCTTGTAGTTTTATAGCTTGGTGACAAGTCCGCCCACCGCACGATATGAAACACCACTTGACATCCCACATCTGACGAAATAGCCAAAAGGCGGGGCTCGTTCAGGTGCTCCGACAAGAAACTCACGAGGATCATTGCATAATTCTGGTGATGTACATACCTCGTACGTCTTGGGATCACTGCTTTTCCGCCTCGTTTCCGCGTTCGAGCGGAAATCCCCACACAGCATCATTTGATTCGCACAACCCCACCGAGACGATTGATTCTCCAGACAGTCGATGGCTGAGGGATGGCCATTATCCGGGGTTATCTCCTTCGCTGGGTCGGCTTTCGCATGACTGGTGGCAAGACAATAGCCGGGAGCACTGTTCATTTGTTTTGCGGACAAGGCACTTCTACTACGATATAATCCAAGGACTAATGAAACCGGATTTCGCTTTCCGAAAATATTAGAGGACTCGAGATGTAACCGGAGATGTGCCGTAGCATTTGCTCCTCGTGACATATTAAATCAATTCCTCTGATACTGCTATATGACTTTTGAGTAGGTGATGTTGAACACTATCAGGAGATATATCTTTTTGGGCGCGGTGATGATCAGTACAAACGCAGCTACTGGGCACAGCTCTGCTTAGGAAATCTTGGTCGATCATCTTTGTAGCATCATCACTTCAATTTCAGTGCTATACTCCTTGTACTCCTTTTTCTTCTCTACTCCTGCCCCTACGATTCTTCTTGGTGTTTAAAGCGACGCCACACTTGAATCTGGGGCTCGGTGGCTATTTCGGTGGCTATGATTGGCCAGTCTAGCTGACTCAGCGGGAAACGTATATTCCATTCCCATAACAGGCTAGTACGGTATAGACGGGCCAATCATGGCCGGGCGCCACAGCGTCTTGGACCTATTTTTTTATCAGTTTCGGTCGATCTCTGCCTTTGCTTCAGGGAGATATTCGATCACGGTGCTAGTGACCCATTTATGGTTACTACTATGCTCTCTAGTGTTGTTAGCCTCCCTTAATCCTCTATGGCCAAGGGGTATGCTATATCCTCGTACTTCCGTTCCAAACCGTCGTCGGTGTGTGCAAGTGTCGAACTTTCGGTGGCCTTCGTTGGCCCTCATGTCACAAGTCTATTGTCAAGCTACTTGCTTCTAGAGCTGTGGCTAACGTTTTAGTGTTAGCGTGGATCCATGTCGTCTCGTACTTTCTCTGCTCAACTTCTTTCAATACACACCTCCCCCTTTTCTTTTGCTTTTCTTTTTTTTTAGACAGTAGGTTAGATGGGCCGACGCCGGATCTTGCCCGAGCCCTACAGCCCAAGGCATACGTAAGTTCGAAGAAGCTTCGGATCCACACAGTGGGGAAAGCTTCAGCTACGAAATAAGGTCGTCCTAAAACTTGTAACATACTACGCAGCTGCCTAGTCTAAGACTTTACTCCTCGTCGGCAGTAATCGACAGTGGAGTTTGCTGGACACTGCCTTAAGACCGGCTACTTCCCCCTGCTATAAGGCCAAGGAACAAAAATATAGGGACAGCTAATTCAATCAGAAAGGTATGGCATCATGCTCGGCCAAGGTCTCTTCAGTTGGTTTGGCACGTCAAACGCACAGAGCTCAGAGGAGAATGTTCAACCCACATGGGATCCTAAAACTTTGACCATGGCTCAACCCTTTAGTCCAGCCGCCCCGACAACAGACAAGGTGGTCACCAATCAACCTGTACGTTTACCGCACAAGTGTTAGTTGATATTCGATTGTGCTGAATTAATTGCCGGTTAATCACAGACACCTACGGAAGATATGCAGTTACAGCTGCGCGGTGGTGGTGGGCCTGAAGACGAGTGAGCCGCCCTTTTCATCTCTTCCTACTGCTGGAGGCTAATAAGACTGCAAACAGTTGCTGCTGCTGCTGCTGCTTCTGCTGTGGCGATTGTTGTGGTCCTAATGGGCCCCCGGGTGGACCAGAAGGCCCTGGCGGAGGTCCAGGAGGTCCTCCTGGTGGAGGCCCCGGTGGTTGGTAAAGCTAAGGGCTGTCTGCAATCAACGTGTAATAAATTTGATGCTACTAGCTACCTGCTCGATTGCCGTGCACTTGTGTTCACATAAATATTTCATTCAGCTCTATTTTGCGTTATTCCATTTAATTTCATGTACATACAAGTGTGACTAAAATTGGTCAGCTCCAGACTGTGAACAAAGACAAGAAACATCCAAGCCGGTGGATGCAAATGAAAAGAAATGTCCAATATCACCACATTTCATCTATACCGTGAACTTGGTCTTGTTCACAGGACCCGCCTCTAGCGCCGCCTTGCGGACAGCCTCCTCGCCCACCTCCTCGAAAATATCGTAACCCCAGAAAGCGGGGAAGTTGAAACGCTTGTGGCGCTCGAGGGAGGAAAGACGGGCGAACGCATCCTCCGATAAGTGCTTAACTTGGAGGTTGGCCGCAATACGAGATGGGGTGACACTCTTGGACAGGACCACAGTACCACGCTGGACTCCCCAGCTAGCCAACAGTGGACCAGGATCCATGCTCAGTTCTCCGGCAACGCTGTGTACCAGAGGGTCGTCGACCGTCCGTGGCTCGCCGGTCTGGTTGTTGCCCAGAGGCGAGTAAGCCTCGACGATGATTCCCTTTTCTTGGCAGAAACGAAGGAGGTCCGCTTGTTGCAGGTAAGGATGAGCTTCAATCTGATTGGCAGCTGGTACGACCGAGACCTGACCGAGCAGTTCTTCCAAGCGGCGAATGTTGAAGTTAGATACACCAATTGCGCGCACCTTCCCTGTCGAGAGTAACTTCTCCATGGCCTTGTAGGTGGTGATGTAGTCGACATCCGCTAACTCGAACACGCCGTCTTCGTTGAGGGGAAACCACTTGTCACCGGATTTGAAAGCACTATGTCTGTGTTAACGTTCGGGGAGTTCATGTACGATTCAATGTTGACAGAGTCTTACCAGGGCCAGTGCATCAGATATAAATCCAGATAGCTAACACCGAGATCCTTGAGTGTCTTATCCAAAGCAGGCTCGACATCCTCCGGCGCATGTTTCGTATTCCAGAGCTTTCCGGTAATGAAGATCTCCTCCCGAGGGACCCCAGACTTGCGAATTCCGTTGCCAACTTCCGACTCGTTGCGATATATAGCAGCACAGTCAATGTGTCGATATCCCTGCTTAAGTGCCACCTCCACGGCATTCTCGACCTCGAGGGGCTTGGCCTGCCATGTGCCAAACCCTACTGTAGGGATTTTGGCTCCAGTATTGAGCGTGAAGTGCGTTGGGAGCGACATTGTGAGATACAGTGCGTGTCGTGAATGGAGAGAGAGAGAGAAAGGCCGTAAGTCAATGTGCAGAATTACAACAGCGACATTAATAAATACTCAACCAGTTATAGCAATCCCCAGACTTCTTTAATCCTGAAGATCTCCCAACTACTGGCAGGTGGGGAATTCCGCCTTCCGACAAGCTCGGCGGAAAAGCATAGCGGAAAAGTAGCCCAGGTCTATGACGGTTTACTTCTCCGCACGAGAGATTTTCGTCCGTTGCATGATAGCCGGATGCCGATGAGCGAACTAAGATGCAATTCGTCATGGTGATAGAAAGGCTTCGGCAACTGCACGGGTAAAACCCTACCCGGCTTGCTTCGCGCAGCGGCTCTCAGCCAAGGAAGTTTGGCAAAGCTTGACAGCCAAAAGCTTTCACTGTCGGAGCCGATCGTCAACGATATATCCTTGGCCAGTCTTGTTGAGTAGGCTCGGAGCCTCTCCGTAGCCCCCACGTTATCACCAGGTGCCATATCTCCACAGGGACATGGATCTAAGAGGAGGTTGCCCATATCCGACCCTTTCCCGTCGCCCAATACCATTTCAATGGGGCCTGTCACAAATCTGGGGTTATTTGACGGGTTTAAGCGGGTGGGGAATTGTGTATGGGAGGTACCTTTCATATATGAACCCTTACCAGCCGCTGTATTGCAAAGAAACCATTGTCATTTGGAGCCTTTTCCCACTGCTTTCCCTCCACATTCTGTTCAACCACATAATCACCCCTTGTAACTCAGCCACAGACGAAGCAGAGAAAGAAAGCCAATCGATCATGGCAGACATAGATTCGAAATCATCATCTTCCCATGTAGAGAACCCTACTAAACCAATAAGCCCCGAAGCCATCCAATTCGAGGGACTTTCGGACGAGGAAGCTTTGAAATTGGAAAGACAATGTGAGAACATTCGATTCGGTCTCACCCACCGTGCTGATGAGAGTAGTGGTGCGCAAGATCGATTTTCACTTAATCCCAGCTTTGTTCTTGCTGTTTATCTTTAACATTCTCGACCGATCGAACATCGCGAACGCCCGCTTGGGAGGGCTGCAAGAGGATTTGGGTCTTTCTGACACCCAGTACCAGACAGCCGTGGCTATAATGGTAAGAGATGAACAGAAACTCTATCAGCCGTTCGCGACTAATCCGTTTGACGTGTCCAGTTTGTTGGATATCTTCTCGGCCAAGTTCCTAGCAACATTATCCTCACCCGTGTGAGGCCATCGCGCTATATCCCCGCCGCCATTTTCGTGTGGGGCGGAATCTCCATCTGCTTGGCTGCAACGAAGAACTATGCTGGAATTCTATGCGTACGAATCTTTCTAGGCTTTGCCGAGTCTCCCTTCTTCCCGGGTGCTTTGTATGTTTATACATGTCAGGTAATGACTGCTATCTTTCCCGCTGACATGATTTTCAGGTTGTTAATGAGTTCATGGTACAAAGCCTCTGAGCTGGCAGTGCGTGTTGCTATTGTATACTGTGGAAATACCGTCGCAAATGGATTTGGAGGCATGCTAGCTGCAGGTATACTGAGTGGACTAGACGGCAAAGGTGGGCTTGCAGGGTGGAGGTGAGCTCCAATATAACATGGTATGACGTGGTTCCATTGACCAAGTATTCCTTCTTCAGATGGCTATTCATTATTGAGGGCGCTGGCACTATGGTGGCTGGATTGCTGGCGGTGGTTTTACTCCCCGACTTTCCTCGGTCTGGCCAGCGAAAGTGGTTAACGCAGCAGGAGCAGCGCTTTGCTGAGTGGCGCCTAGCCGTCGCCACAAATAATGAGGTCGACGAAAACGGCTCCATCAGGCAAGGCATGAAGGATGCGGTGACTGATCCGAAAGTGTGGGCATTGGTTTTGATACAGATCTGCCAGCTGACGTCCCAAACCTGGACATATTTCTTCCCAGTGAGTCCTCCAGCTGTATCCTATCACCTATCCCTCGTTGACGCATTGTATCTAGAGCATCGTGGAAACCCTCGGCTTCGGAAGGATCGTTACCCTGCTTATCACGGCACCCGTGTATGTCTTTGGCTTCCTCAGTGCCCTAGGAAACTCGCTTATTGCGAACCGGACGAACTGCCGAGCCGTTCTCATAGTATGGCCGCTCTGCATTGACATCGTGGGAAATGTGATGGTCATCAGCTCCCACGCCACGGCTGTCCGTTATGTTGGCATGTTCCTTATGTGCATGGGGTCCTACAGCGCGTTCAACGCCGTGCAAGCCTGGATTGCCAGTACTATCCCACGTACACGAACGAAGAGAGCCATTGTTTACGCCATGGTCAATTTCTTCGGCAACTCGTCCAACATCTATGGCTCGTATTTCTTCCCCACCAAGGACTCCCCGCAGTACCGGCCAGGGGGCATCATTCTGTCCAGCTTTGCTGCAGGCGGTGTTTGTTTTTCGATTTTGTTGGCTGTTTACCTCCATTGGCTCAACACCAAGGCGCGAAAGGCTGAGGACGAGGATGGCCAAATACGCTACAAATATATCTTCTAGGCAATCATGAAGCGTAGCCCCAGCGGGTATTGCAAAGCCGGGGCTTTGCTGCCCCATGGAAATAAGGGTCACTTGTGAATATAATACGGAGACTTTCCTTGGCCTTATGATTGCTTGTTGATTTATTCTAGGACGTCCATGTAGAGACCTACCCTGGGAGTAGTCGGAGTGTTCTTTCCCATGCGTTGTATAGAGCAGGCCAGGATCGGATTCGAGACGAACCTTTCGTGTGAACCGTCGTATATAATACATTCAAGGTCATAGTCATCCTGGCAAGGCTATATCGGCGACTGTTAGCTTGAGCAATACGGAATACTGGCAAGAAAGATACGCACTGATTGGTAAACTATCCAACTGCGACCACAAATCAAGGATCAAGTCATTGTCCAAAGTGAAGGTATCGAATAGCGGGAGAGCCTGCGCGTCAACAGGAAAGGGTTCATGGTAGCGAGGCTCAGGATGAGCATGAGAAATGTTGCCTCCTAACTCTGTATTATCCAGGTTCCTGTCCTCTATCCCGGGCCCGCCGTGTTGTTCTGGGGGCGCATTCAAGGCAGCATAGTCGCATGGTGCCCCTAACCGCTCAAGCTCTCGCCGTAGACTCTGTAGAATGGTTCCATATTTCCAAGATGGTGCATTCCTCGCCGTTGCATGTGTGAGATGATATTGTGCAGTCTCTGCCAGGATGTAGAGCGTGGACTCATCAAAACCAAGTCCATTGTTCAGGCCACCCTCGGCTGCGACATAGGTTTGGCTCAGCGGTAAGATTCGGTTACACTGTACTTGGATCAAGTAGATGTAGATGATCGACAAGGCGTTGAAGGCGATATATTGCGAGTACCAAAACGCCGGAAAAAGCTGGTTGTCTCTAGCAAAGGTGGTGATCAGTTCGACGGTGTCCTTCGCCGCCACCAGACACACACGAAGATATTGAACGTAGCTGGCCTCGCGATCCGTCCAAATCTGGCCGTAATTCCGCAACAGCAGCGGCCGAGTGATGAACATCAGGGCATGGTATCGCGCCAATTGCAGCACCGTCAGTTGTCGCTTAAACAGGGGAATCAGGCTACTGGAATGGATGACTCCCGATAGGCATGGCGGCAGCTCTGCATGCCATTCCGCCACTCGCTCGCACAAACCGCGGATGATGTTGATTTCCTCTCGGTCGGTGATGCCAGCTACCACGTAGGGCTCCTTGGCGGCTTGAGAGAGTACACGGGCGAGCAGGGCATGGAATATAGCCGCATCCATTACACAGTCTCGGGTTGGCGGCGAGATCCGATTGGGGGAGATATCTTCATCATTCACACGGGCAGGTAGTCTCTCATCCAGGTCCTCATCATGCCAGAGGCGGGGCGTACCCAGCATCAAGCTCAGATACTTGTCTAACGTATACGAACACCAGACGACTCGGCGTTGGCATTCCTGCTGTATCAGACTAATTTCGGCCGTGTCCCGATTCCGTCGTCTGCTGTGGAGACCGAGTGCCATGATCAATTGAATGGTGGTTCCTAAGGTGAACCACGCCCGATGAGCCCGTGATGAGCTTAGCAGGTACAAGACCATTAGGAATCTGGCCTGCACCGACTCCAGTCTAGGTGCACCGCTTTCTTGTGACAGCAGACAATCCGCCTTGGTGAAATACAGCTCACTGGCGCGCCAGCCATCTGCATCTGCATCTGTCATAGCGCCTTTGATATCCATCTTAAACATGGTGGCGGTGCTGAACACCATCAGGAGAATGGCTTGACAGACACTCGTCACTCCACTGACCCGCTCCTCGCCCGGCCGTCCGCCCTGGTAGAGGCGCTGGACCGTCTTCTCAACCGTCTGCTGGTGAAGCACCCGGTGCGTCGGTGATGCAAACTCGAAGTACCGATGGACTAAGGCTTCCGCTGTCTCTAAATCTGGCCATTGGAACTCCGTCACGCGTGATTCTGGAACCACACGATCGCCAAATTGAAATATGGACGTGCTCGGGCCATGACTGGGATCATGCGAAGCCCCGATCGCATTTGATGGAGGCGTTGGCAATCCCAACGCCGCTCGATCTAAGAAGGAATGAGCAGAGGTAGGTCCCCAGTACTGATCCGCAACTTGCGCCCGCTGGATCTCGGGCTCATGGTGATGCCTTGTGTCCGTGATGGACGGCGGAGAGATCACGGAGGTGGGAGCATCGTTGTAGGGCGCGGGCAGTATCTTATCCGGCGAGGTGTAGGAGGCTGGGGAGGAGAACGACAGATGGCTGTCTTGTTGATAGCTTTCTTCTGCTCGCAGGGTTGCGTGATGTGTCGTATGCGAGGACGGGGGTGGGCTCACCGCGACGCCGCGGTTATAGGTGGCATTGTATGTACAAACCTCCTTGCGCCTCAGGCAAGGTCTACAGGGAAGATACCCAGTGCAGGCTTTCTTCTTTCTCTTACATGCATCACAAGCGCGGGTGACTTTACGTATCTTCCGGGCTGGACCCTCGTCGCTGGCCAACATTTCCGCCTGCATGTCGGGAAGGGCGGAAGGAAAGCGGAAGCCACTCGAGCAATATAAAAAGAGAAATAGGGCGGGGATGGCGAAAGGGAAACCGGGTGCTGACGTGTCTGATAGTGACCAGTTGACGATTACATTTGGTATGCTTGCGTGTCTAACAACGAGCAACTCCAGCGAGGTCGAAGTTGAAGCATTTTTCGGCAGAAATTAGGCGAGAACTGCCAAGGCGGGCTCGTCCGGGGGGGGATTTATGATTTTATACTACTCGGGGGGGGCCATAAAAAGACCATCTGATATATCCTGACCACCTTCCTCGAGGGCAGGAGGTCCCTATAGTATATCCTGAGATGAGAATTATCCTAGATAGCTGTAGCAGTGCTTGCATGCTTCTACTGTTGCACCGTCCACCAGACAAGCTTATCGTCCGTCGTGTCTGCACAGGCGGAATCATGCATAATGGATCTCCCCCATTCCCTCCACCGTCCTGGCAGCCTTATTTTCTTGGTCTCTATTTATTTCCCTAGCAGAAGGACAGAGATCCCAATCGCTGGGATCTTGCTCTTGCATCACCACAAGCTGCCGTTCAACGTCGTTCGGAAAAGCATCGGGATATCGGTTGAAGCGGATTCTCGTCGGATTTCTCCACATTTACCCGGCACGTCCCTCGGATTTCCATAGGAAAACAACTAAAGACAATTCCAGCACTTGTATTTGACAATAACCACGGATACATCATGAGTTAGGACCTCGTGAGGCCAAAAGGTTATTGGGAGAGATAATTAAGTTATAATCACTCGACACCCGAGCCACAAGCAGATCAATTCGAGCGCTGAGGAGAAAGGAAATGGAGACACACCTACGAAGTATCAGGCGCAACATGATCAATAGCCGCGATCCACGTTTTTATGCGGTACGCAAAGTCCCTGGGGGAGTTTTCGTTGAGCGCAAAGTAACCGGTCAAGTATAGTGCAATGAGTGCCGAGTCCGGAAGCAGAAGGTATACACTGTCCAGCTCATTGGCTCGTCTATAGTCTGATAGACGTTGCGCAGTGTTCTAAGGAGAGACCATCCTGTACGGACTGCACGGAATCCGGTCGACCCTGCACATGCCCTCACAAGAAGGTCCGAAGCCCCTTACAGCGCTGGTATGTGAGCTATTTGGAATCGCGCGTGATGTACTTCGAATCCGCCTTCAAGTTTCTATTCCCCGGAGCAGAGCCAGATATGCTGCTCGAGTCGATATTGGCCGCAAAGCGTGGATGGGCATCTCATTACCCAGAGTTGTATCCTTCTTCCGTGCCCTCCTCGCCGACATCTATGGAAACGATCAATAGCCCGGATTCGATACTCCATCGCGACCCACAGGTGAACGTGAAGTCAGCTTCCCGCGTAGCATGTGGGGACGTGATGTCTCTGGCTGGTATGAGTGAGACAGATCAAGATGTTATTGAATGGTCTGTGGTGCCGAATGACAGAATCCTTCTCGATCTACTATAATGACGCTTGTCTGAGAATGGCGACTGAAGACCCGGCGACCAGCTAGAGATTTAATTTCCGATACTGCTAGCCAGATTATACCCTCATTCTGCATTGCAGCTGCAGTGTCCGTCGACATGCACATATGCACACGACTCGTGATGGTGTTTTTATTGGTTGCTCGCCTTATCAAGGTAGATAGAGAAGGCTGTTTTGATCTGTATATATTAATTATTTTCCAAGCTACTAGTAGTAGCCAATGTCATACGTGTTCGGTTAATTTAAAAGTCATTGACAATGCGTGGCCTATCAGGTCTCTGCATCTGAACGCATGAACGGCGATCTCTACCTCACTGTGTTCTTCAGCACTCGAGCTAAGGTCGACGGTGTGTTTTAAGTAGACTAACTGAATTGCCAAGCATCCACTGAGCATCATGAAATCCGCCACGTTTGCTGGGATGCGGCCAAGCAATTCGGTACTTTGACAGTTCGGAAAGAATTTGTCCGAAACGATGTTTGTGAGCTCTCTAGGCTGGTAAGCACGTAGATAGGCCAGGGTATTGCTACATAGGACACGGATAAACGTATATATAGTCATCAAGGTGTCGCCCAACCCCTACAGATATCATCGGTAGACTAGTACAATTAATTCTCTGTTTCAACATGCTCCGCAAATCATCACTCCTCTTGACTACTGCTCTTCTGGGATCCCACGCTCGAGGTGGCGTGCTGCCTCGAGCAAGCATCGACCATGATGCTGTCGTGGGATTTGACCAGACTGTCCCCAGCGGTACCACTGGAGAGGTGTATCTGGCTTACCAACCGGCTCTGTATGTGGTCAATGGCTGCGTGCCATTCCCAGCGGTAGATGCTGACGGCAATACGAAGTAGGTTTCCTAGTTCCTCCCCCATTTATGGGACCGTTCTCATGTGTGTCACAAACGATATCATTGCATCCTAATCCTAGTCAACAGTGCCGGCCTCGAACCTACTGGGGATCCTAGTGGGAACTGTAGCAGCAGTACTGGTCAAATCTATGTGAGAGGCGGCACATCCGGGGACTATTATGCCCTCATGTACTCTTGGTACTTTCCCAAGGATGAGCCATCGACAGGCCTGGGCCACCGCCATGATTGGGAAGGTGTTATTGTCTGGCTGTCCGATTCTACCTCCACGTCCGCTGATAACATCGTCGCTGTTTGTCCGTCGGCACATGGGGACTGGGACTGTTCGACAGATGGCTACAGTCTGGATGGCACCAGCCCATTAATTCAGTACTACAGTACCTGGCCAGTGAATCACCAATGTGGGCTGACATCCACTGTGGGCGGTACACAACCCTTGATCGCCTGGGAGAGTCTCCCTACCGCTGCCAGTACGGCATTGGAGAACACGGACTTCGGAGATGCTAATGTTCCCTTCAAGGATGCAAATTTCGCATCCAACCTCGGAAAGGCCACTTTTTGAGACGGAATACGATTATTTATGGAGGAATCCCGACTTGGGTCTACCGGCAGTTGATCAAGGATGATGTCAAAGGGAACGAGCAAAGACATGACATGTTTTAGTGGGAATACGTGTATCTAATCACCGTAAATGGCAATTCTGGCAGTTTTTGATCTTTCGCATGCCGTATTGATAGAACCACGGCATACCGAGACGATTTATGCACCAATGTTATAGCTCTGTGTGGAGCGTCTCGCGGAAATAGAGTCCCTAGCGGCGAATCAACCGAGGCATCCATGGTAATGAGCCCAACCAGCAAGTGCCGAACGCTAGATAGACGACTAGGAGGACCCGTGCGGCAGATCCGGATAATGTTTACGGTATTCGAGATCCACCATAGTATAAGCATACTTATACTTGCGGGGTACCCCGGATTTTAATGTTATTTGCTTTAGCATCGACGCGCAACATGTTGTCCTTCGTGAAAAGCACTATCGTGCCGCTTCTTCTACTTTCTCAAGCTGGGTATGGAGCTACGGCTTCACCTGCATATCCAACTGCCCCCGAATTGAGCTTTCTCTACACAGCCTATGTGAAATGTGAAGGCACGCTGATGGAATCTCCTGGCCCTCATGGAATCCGCAAAGCGATCCCCATCGTCGGAGGAAACTTCACCGGTCCCCATCTTTCAGGTAGCCACCCCTGACGAGCTCATAGGTATCACGCACTAACACCACACCAGGGGAAATCCTCGATGTCGGTGCCGACTGGGGGTTGACTGATCCTCAAAGCAATGTGTTCTCGGCGGACACGCGCTACAATCTACGGACTCACGATGGCGAGAATATCTTCATTCAGACCTCGGGTCCGAAGTCTCCCTCTGGCCAGCTGCATCTCCGGTTAGTGTTTGAGACTGGCAGCGAGAAGTATTACTGGTTGAACAATATTGTTGGTAAGTCAGTTCTGTAGCTGGTAGCATGCCACATCTTCTTTGCTAACGGGTGACTTTAGCGATCGGTGTTTTGACCAATGTCGAGAAGACTTCCAACTCTTCACTGCTCCGTATCGATGCATGGAATGTAAGGCTTTTAGTCATACCATAACTCGATTGAAATACAGATTCTGACGTTATACAGTTTGCCTCTGATTGGAATAGGACGACGACTCTAGTTTGAGACTGGCTATAATTATTCGGGCATGGGATCCTAAGGACGGAAAACATAGGTCAGATAGCGGTGCACCTACTAAAACTATATGAGTCGATGATGACATTGTACCTGGTAGTCGATAAGTCATGAGTTTCGCAATATCAGAATCCTTGGTTTGGCTCCATGTCATTCTCCAGGTCTACGCATTGGAGTCAATCTCCTCTGACTACACTTTGGGGTCTCTATCACCGCCCACCACAAGCCTCAAGCTCCAAGGGTAGTGGAGTATTTAGTCAAGCCACGGCCACTCAAGTCCTTCCACTGATTCCACCGTCGCTCCACTATTCTATACTAGTTTTCATTGGGCCAAACCCCGCACTCAAGGTGGATGAGGATTAATAATCCAGGTGCAGGATGAGGATCAGCGTGAACACGGCGAATATATAAACATGCTCCTACATACACGCACGTATGATATCGAGATAAACTGATCACAAAATGGCTCCGTTCACACCCAGAAACCTCCTTCTCTTCGGCGCCACCGGAAACATCGGCACACATATTTTGGACGCCATTCTTACCGCACGGCAGGAATTCGACCGGGTTGCTATTTTCACTTCGCCGGCCACCGCGGCTTCCAAGAAAGACTTCCTAGATAACTTGAAACGCAGCAAGAATGTCGAGGTACTTGTAGGGGACTTGCAGGATGAAGATGCTGTCAAAAAGGCTTATGAAGGTACGTTGCTGCTCTCTGCGTTACACTCATATTCGTTGCAAAAGCAACCATGGGTAAAGATGGTCATGATGGCCTCGGTGAAAACAAGCTTTCAATTCAATCGAGAGATAATCCCTTATTGACGTATGCCAGGAATTGACACCGTCATCTCTGCATTGGGCCGGGGCGCGATAGCTTCCCAGATCCCTCTCATCCGCCTGGCCGACGCCTCTCCGACTGTGAAATGGTTCCTCCCCTCTGAATATGGCACGGATATCAAGTACTCCCCTGCTTCAGCGCAGGAAAAGCCGCATCAACAGAAACTAAAGGTTCGGGCGTTCTTGGAGAATGAGAACCCCAACGAAGGGATTGTGTTCGATCTAGCGTACACATATGTTGTGACAGGCCCTTATTCCGACATGTATGTTCATTTTGCCGGTAATCCGGTAGCGGGTGGATGGGACGTGAAGGCCAAGAAAGCGACACTGCTAGGAGAGGATGGAAGCGCGAGAGTGAGTTTGACCACGATGAAAGAGTAAGTCACCCAAGTTCCAGATAAAGAGGCCATGCCATGGAACTAAACGACTTCGCTGCTTAGCGTTGGAACACTCGTGCTGGCGACGTTACGACACCCCTCCGTGGCTTTCAACCGCGCACTGAAGGTTAATTCATTCACTACCACACCGGCCGAGATTCATGCCGAGTTTGTGCGCCAGACCGGTGGTCAGCCGTGGCCTGATGTCCAGTACACCTCGCTGCCCCAGTTGCGTGAAGCAGAGTCCGAGGCTTGGAAGGCAGGGAAACCTGAAGCGACGATCCTGACGCTGAGACGGATCTGGACCGAAGGAGGCACTCTCTACGATCAACGAGACAACGCGTTAATTGGCGAACCGCCAGTGCAGACATTGAAGGACGTTGTTGCACAGGCAATCACGCAATCGTCTAAGTTGTAGATGGGGTACAACGTTATGTGCCTTGGGTCTGTTCTGAATGCGATAGAAGCGAAACAGACGTCGGATTGAGCTTCGCTTCAAGAGGTGGTTGGTATTGAGTCGTGTCAAATGGTTACCAAATAGGTTTTCCAGAACCGCTAGTGGTAGTTAGATGTAGGAGTATGATGAGTGAGAACAAATATCTCACGTTGTCCGACTTGAAAATATATAACGTGGCTCTTCCAATATGAGGGCCTTGTAGGGTCAGTTTAGTCTCGTGTACGCACCCAGGAAGTGAGAGGAGCATCCAGTAGCTTGTAAAGGTTCTTTGTCACAGCTACTATAAATATACAAATAAAATTATAGACAAATACCCTGATTCAGCTGGATTTCAATATCTTTGTGGACGGTATCACGTGACCATTTGGAAGGTCCTTGGTGACGCTCACGAGGGCATGCCCTATGGTGTAGAGAGGACCCAGAAACCGGCCTACCACCGTGGCAAAGACCAGAAATCACCACTTCACCAGTGTTTAGAGTGTCTCTCCGACCGAGAGTCTCTTATTACTATCACGATTACCCCGCCATCGGGTCAGCCACTGGACCCACTTGCGTGCGTCATTAGCAAGATTTCCCGCCAACAAATCTCCAGAGATAAACAGAATTAACCACCAACTAACCGACTAACTCACCATGGCGCCTCACGAAGGATTAGTGCACCCCAAGGAATATGACATCAAGGACAGCAATGTGGAACTGATCGGATCCGATCTCGACCATCGCGTCAAGTACAATTCGGCGGCCACGGAGCCGGCCTGGAACAACGGTCAGATCGGACGGGAGGCCGGGCTGTGGATCTGGCGGATTGAAAACTTCGAGGTCGTGCCCTGGCCCAAAAGCCGCGCGGGCGAGTTCTACGACGGGGACAGCTACATCGTGCTGCACTCATACAAAGTCGGAGATGACAAACTGGGCCACGACATCTTTTTCTGGCTGGGCAGCAAAACAACCCAGGACGAGGCCGGCACCGCCGCGTACAAGACGGTTGAGCTGGACGAATTCCTGCACGGAGCGGCGACCCAGCATCGTGAAGTCCAGCAACAGCCGTCCGAGGATTTCGTGTCGCTGTTCCGTCGCATCACCATCCGGTCTGGCGGTGTGGCCTCAGGATTCAACCATGTGGAAGAAGAAGCACCCAAGGAGGTGACGACGTTGCTGCGCGTCTTCAAGCATCCGGGGGCCGGCCGGATTGACTCGATTATTGTGTACGAGGTTCCACCCAGCTGGCAGAGCCTCGATGACAAAGATGTCTTTGTTTTGGACAAGGGCGACAAGATCTGGGTGTGGCAGGGAAAGACCTGCAGCCCGATGGAAAAGGCCAAGGCCGCTCAAGTGGTGAACGATATGACGCTGGCGAAGCACGTCGATGTGGAAGTTCTATCGCAACTGGAGTCGCGATCGAAGATCTTCGTCGACCTGTTAGGGGGCAAGGAGGTGGACCAACTCTCGTTCCAGGCTCCCCGTCCGGTCTCATTCTCCCAGCGATCCCATGATGCCAGCGGCGCGTTGCGTCCTTCCAAACTATTCCGCCTCAGCGACGCCTCGGGCACGCCCTCCTTCAATCTCGTCAAGGATGGCGGGCCCGTCCGCCGGTCGGACTTGGACGGAAACGATGTATTCCTATATGACGTGGGTAGCCGATTGTGGGTCTGGCAAGGGTCGGGTGCCAGTGAAGGCGAAAAGGCGTTGTGGCTCAAGGTGGCCCAGGCTTATGTTCGTCATCTACAACAACAGCAGGACGATTCTGACGCATACCTGACCCCGATCTCTAAAGTTGTGGAAGGCTACGAATGCCCGGCATTCCTGAGAAGTATCCAGGTTTAGGTAGCAGCGGCCACACGGCGTACATAGATGGTCTTAGATGAATGTCTTGCATCTGTCAGACCAATTTGGAAATTGAAGAGGTTCATCCGCGGATAGAAGCGGCCGCGGCGTTAGTAAGTCTTGTTGGATCACAGTCAATAGGCTTGATATAAGAGTGTAGATTGTCATCAACTATATCACGTGTATACAGATGGATTAGTATCTAAGACTGTGTTATTGCAACAGTGATCTTATCCGACCGTCGAGAAAACGTCGAGATAGTCCCCGAGCCACCTGAACAACGGCTGGAATCCGTTTAACAGCTCTCCTTCCTATCTCCAGGCCCGCGTCTGAGTCTAAACGCGAGTATCATCGGGAATTCAGTGAAATTCCTCGCTGCATATTCACGCGAGGGCTCGCGGAAGGTGTCATCGAAGTTCGTTTCCTCAAGGGCATCGAGGATGAGACCGGTCCGAAAGAACGGGGCAAATAGATCTTGAAACGACCTGTGGAATGAGATCTACCGTTCTATCATTAGTCCTTCGGAATGCAGACGTTGCGGCTGGAAGAGCTGTACCGGCGGTTTATGCTCGCTATCACTAGAAAATAGGAGTTGCCGGGCAGGGGCCACATTTTGATATTGGCTCAAAAGTATAGACCTGTCTAGTATGCGCTGGCCAGTCACAGGATCCTCATGGACTGTGATTTGGCGCCGTGCGCCACTCGTGAAAAATAGAGGGTGGAGCACTGTAGCAATGAAACTGTAACGTGTTAGAACGAAGACTAGGCTTTCCGAGACCAATTACGCAGTTCGAATAAAAGTAGCGCCAACCATCCGTCTTGCTTTAAAAGGGATGTTAAGGATGCTGCTAATGGTTCAAGATCATGAACATCCATAATCCCCATGTTCATCACAATCGCGTCAAAGCCGTCTTCCTACAACATGTCAGCGCGGGTATCATCTTTCCTTTCGGCCCTAGCAGCAGGCGTCCCAATTGGTAAAACAACAACGAACCAGAAGGTGACCACTGTTGATGAAATGCGCCCAGTGATCTTCGTTGGTCACATCTAGAAGTTCGAAGCAAATCTCGCGTTCTTTGTCCAGTCTTCCTTCGTCGTACCAGATAGCTGTTCGCGCCTTTGCGTGTTCTAGCATGGCCGTGGCGCCGTCTGTCGCGACCACAGAGAATCCCTCTTGGGCAAGCCATCGCGCAACCAGGCCATTGCCCGTGGCGAGGTCCAAGGCACGATCTCGCTTCTGTCCACTGATCATTCTTTTCAACGCAGGCAACTCGAGGACTGAGAAGTAGTCGTTTCCGTCATCACCCATACTTGCATCCCAGGATCCAGCATGATTCTCCCAGGCTGCCAAAGCCTGACCTTCCAAGCCTGGTTGTTCCATAGGGCCGCCCAGTGTGTAAAAAGAGACACAGGTGTATCTCGAAGCTCCGACTGACCTACATCCAACGGCCCGGGCATATTAATGACCACGGCGTGAGTCATGGTCTCGTATTCCATTTGCTTGGCTTTCTTGGCTGATCAATAGACATTCCATCGACACGGAGTATGTTAACTCGTCCTCAATGGACTTGAAATACAACAGAAGGTAGGAGTGAGTGCCCAGAAGATGGTTTACCGGATTGACCGAGAGGGATGGATTTATGGTTGGTGGTCTTGTTCAGCCTTGGAGGCATCGGCTATACCTAGGTATATATCGGTCCTGAGCACTTGTATCTCATAAACATGACATCGTAACCGTTATGCCCAGTACTCCCGTAGTTCTGCAAATTGAAGCCAACCCGCAGGTTGCAGCTGTGGGACCTAAAGCAGAAAAAAAGAAGCGGAATAACAAGCTTTGTGCAGTGACCTCTTGGCGGTCCCTGGAAATCATTCTGTTGACATGTACATTGTAGTCAGGTGTACACGGTCACCGGGCGAGAAGCGCTCTTGGCCATGCAGATCATCTTCTATATGCAGTCGAGAAGCCTCCTCAGGTGATGAACCCTTAGCCACGTGGATCCTCCACCGCATCAACCCCAGAAAGTACTACTAATTTCCCCCAGAACCCACCACGCCGCGTACTGAGATCACCCAAGTGAACATGTACCATGGCGACCTCTCCGTCTTCTAGCGCTGTAGGTCTACCCTCTCCGGAAGACACCATTCGGATCGAATCTTGACACAAGTGCTTCAACATCTATTGACCATTCTAAAAGCAACAGGACAAACCAACCGAGCCCGGGCAATCCTCAACATTAGCCCCACATGCCCACTGGAGCCCAGACCCAGAGGCCCAAAACTACAGTACCTTTGCCTTTCCCTATGACCCATCATCACCGGACGGCATTCCTCCCCCGCGGAAACAAGGTGGGGGAGGCACTCTCTCCTTGGTAGTGTTCGGACTGGTGATTGTTGGCATCGTGTTGCTTTTTGCACTTACGTGAAACGCGATCTTGATTTGCGGGATACCAGGGGAATAGTGGAGCGAGTTGCCTGTTTTTGTATTGGATGGCAGTGAAACCGAGTATGGATACATTTACCCGGGACTGTGATATCGTGGGCTTGGTATGACGATATGCTGGTCGCTTCAGGTTGAGATATTGATGTATTTCATATATGAGCGCTACAGACATACCACCTCAAGGACCGTGTCACATAGCAATTTTACTTGAAATTGAAGAGACACTTCTTGCAAACGCTTCATATCGGGCATGGAAAAGACGCTGAACCTTTGGTCTATGCGCGAAACTGGTCTCATATATCGTATATCATAAATGCCATGGTATCCCTCAGCGAGTTAAATCTAAGCAGGTCAGTATCGGTGACGTCATTTCACAGATCTCAATTACCATTTGGTTTTGACTGTTCTTTCTCCTATACAAAATCTCACATTCTATAATTTCATTGTGGAAAGATGAGTGCTATGAGTGATGTCGTGTTGTGGTGGTAGTTATTGCATAATGTTGGAATTGCCGGCCAGGAAGGGGAACTTAGACGTCCTTGCACTGAGGGACACTGCCCTGTACAAATTACCTTTAGATCAGGGGAAGTCCATATCCTTCGCGATCTAATGGAATAACTGCATACCCAGGAAACTACTGACATTTTGTCTCTGAGGGCTATTAATGATAAAATGGCGGAGTCGAAAGAGACTAATTTCACCATCATGCCTGCGGTTAACATTAATACTATAAACCACGTATAAACCATACCGTGGTCATCCTGCGATTCCCCTTGTGACTCCATCTGGATGAAGTATGTATATTAAGTGTTTATGAAGATATCACTGTTATACAGAAAGTACACGGTCCAGTACTCAGAGTAATACCACCGTAACATCAAAGCCCATACAAAGCTCACCGCCGAGAGACGGACACAGATCAAAGTCGGTCCCTATCCTGCTGCAAAGGCCGCCCGGTAATCCGAGTGCTATGTGTTGAGCGAATCACAGTATCGGCAACGGTGCGCAGCAGACATATAAAGAGTACCATGTTCGAAACAGGTACATTCAATCACTCTCCGTGTCACGGGTCGGTACGGCGTTCGCCGTTATGCGTTGCTCGGTAATTGCCGACTGGAGAGATATCATTATACAATGACCTAGAAGCCGCGGCGAGGTTTCTTCAGAATGTCGCTGCCTAAAGCGCGATTGCATCGTCCTGTTTCCGCTGTCGCTTAGGAATTGGTAGCCACTGTTGGATCTCCGCTTTCCCGCCCTTGGCACCGCTACCTCAATCGCCATGCCACTCGATATTCAACATTGAGCGAAAAGTAATTGCGATCTACCCCAGTCAATCGACAAACAGTTGCCCCAGACACCTGGTATATTGCTTGGCGGCTTGGCCCACGGGAGCTGCCGCCTTTTGGACCCTGAACCCTCGGCTCGGGTTCTTATGAAGAGGCGCAGCGTTGGATTCCATGGCTCGGCCGGCCACTTTAGTATCGTGGCGGCGACTTGGCAGTTCGCCGGGTGTATGGCTTCGCCTAACGCTTCTATATAAATGTGTCGAACAACCGTACAGAATCCCATCTGTCTCCTGCCTGACACCCTTGTATAATAAATTGTTTATACGAATCGTTCCTCGAACCTTCTATTACCCAAATCTCACAAACCGACAGACCACCACAAGCCACAACACACGCCATAATGATGACCAAGCTCTGGATGATTGCTGGCTGCATGGCGGCGTCCGTCTCAACCGCTACATGTGCGAACCTCCTTCAAGAACAGAACATTCCACTCAACCTCGCCCTCGACATTGCGCAGAATGCGGTCCAGAACTGTGCCAAGGAGCAATATAGCGTATCTGCAGCGGTGGTTGACCGGGAAGGTGTCCTGCGCGCCCTCCTTCGCGCTGACAATGCCGCCATCCACACCCCCGAAGCGGCGCGCCGGAAGGCCTATACAGCCGCATCCTCGCGGACAGCGACCAGTACCATGGTCAAGAACATCCAAAACCCCGGTGCTGCTCAACTCGCGGCGGTTGATGACTTTCTCATTCTCGCCGGTGGTGTGCCCATTACAGTCAACAATGAGACGGTCGGTGCTGTCGGTGTGGGTGGTGCTCCCAGCGGAGACTTCGATGAGGCTTGTGCAAAGGCTGCACTCGAGCAGGTGGCAGACCAGCTGGCATAGATTCCATGCTTGACAATATATTCTATATGAATAGGCGTGGTATCCAGACGATCAACCGTTCTTCGCTTCCGCCTTCTAGCACCGGCATGTGTTGCTTTGATAGTTGGCAAGGCTGTAGTGCAAATTTCGGGAAACTTGTCGCTCAGGGTATTGCGATGTACATACAACCAACACTTATTTGGTGTGTTTTGGAACGACTTGGGGATATTGAAATTTTCGCACCTGTACAATGTGAATGTTAATATGGACGTTGGAACAATGAGTAAAGTAGAGCATTGCATACTTTGCACTTCTCAGTCATGCTTTCTTTCTGTCTCCCATAAAGGACAAAAACTGTAGCTATGGCGTAGTGACTAGACGTAAAGTATCTTGGTAAAATAGCGCACGTTGCTGTGCTACCAAGGAACATAAGTAGAAAGCTAAGATCGATAGCCTATTATACTAGCGGGCGCCATACTCGGAGTACATCACCAGCTAGTTTGGTAGCACTACCCCTTGGGGATTAACCTTAGCATTAGTGCTTACAACTTCAGTTTGGCTCCGCCCCTTAATGACTACGTGGCTGTTGACAAGACGGACCATCAATTCTACCCAATGGTTCCTGGTCCTTTGTTCTTCTAATTAACTTAATTTTCCCCAGTTAGATGGCTTGATTTTGACAGAACAACCGGCAGATATCGGGCTGGCAGGGGCGACGTCTTACGTATTTGAAATGCAAATACTACATTTCCTTTGCGTATCTACTATGTGTGAATTCTGCTCCTCCGGACATGAGGTCATCTCTTGTTTAGCAACTGATCTGTGAGCCGGAAGCAATATGGTCTTAGGATTTTTCGTGCTGGTCAGGGCCACTCCTGTCTCTGCCTTTGCCCGTCGATGTGATGACTTTGAGAAATCCGCCCTGTGCCGGCCATACCAAAGATGGGAGGCAAACGGACTCGCCGGCTCCGAGGTACAAAGACAGAGATTGCCTTCGTTATCATAGGTGCTGTACATAGGAGGACAAAAGAAGATCCGCATTATCTTGGGCCCGGTTGGTCCTGACAATACTAATCTCGTGAAGGAATTTCTTCGGGCCCGATAAGATAGCAGCCGCCACCGCCACATTGGCCGATCCTCGGCCTGACGAAGCAACATGAGAGCGAAGGGTTGGTACCGGGCTTGGTCCATGGCCAATAACACGTCAGGTCCTGGGAACTCCTGCCAATAGTAATCCATCTACTGGTGGAGTCAAGGTGACGCCGATCACGCCCGTCATAATTGCTCACCGAGGGCACCGGGCGATGCGAAGCATGCGACTAGGAGGTTCCGGAATGGCACTCGGATAGGGCGGGATTAGTCGACTGCGTGTCATGCCTCCCACCAAGCGTAGTCAGATATAGTTTGCGTTATTCGGAGAGGGATCTCCAAACTTTGGGCCAAGGGGTTACATTGATGATCCTGAGCCGTCGCCTAGAGCGGCTGAAATGAGGATTAGTGAGACAAACTAGGTTAGAAAGGGTGCGGCCAGTGAGAGGAACCATGCCGCAGGATCGTCTAGACTACTAACCTAATTTAGGAGTGGAGATGAGGATTGAATGGTCGAAGACAACGCCATACGTGCCTGCCTATCTTCTTCTAGAATCGTCGTAAAAAGTTAGTTTGAAGCCAGAGTGCAACCAGCGAATCCTTGCGTCCTCCGATTCTCAGTTCCTGATTAGTCCGGCGTTTAAATGGCAATCGGGGGAAAACCTTAAAAAACCCAATATCCCTTTGGTCTGATGCCGCAAACGGATGGAAGGCTTGTATCAGGCCATCCTCCGGCAACTCGTGCTTTAAGATGAATTATATCTGGGGAGCCACGCTATCTCCCCACAAGAATTTAGGCAAACGTGAGGGAAATATGGAGAACATGTTTTTTAATGCCTCGTGGGCCAATGGTAGTGGTAGCAGTGGTGGGTTCTGGAGCCCATTCTCGCGACCCACATCACATCAGCATGTTCCATTGAATTGTTGAGGGCCGTTGGAATTAGGTAACAAGAACAGGGAAATGCGGGAATAATCATACTACTCCGCACTGGAGATGGGCTACGGCGGTTTCAGTCCAGATTCCTCCAAATACCCCAGGATCCACCGTACGATGGGGACGGTACCCCCGTCTTGCCCGTCTCCTTTGCTTCTACTCTTTTCCCACGCCTTTTAACCTCCTTCCCCCTTCCATCTCTCTCACATCCTGATTCTATAGACCTTACTTTCCTCGAGCCATTTTTCCGAATCCCGCAGAGCCGACACCATGGATGTCTTACCCGCATACCCCGGTACACACGGGGTGGACAAGAAAGAAGACGAATACTCTGCAGATGCTGAAAAGAGGGATATCGCCGCTGGCCAAGTCCAGGATGCATTCGGAAGCGAAGAGGACGCTGAGATCAAGTACAAAACCTTGACTTGGTGGTATGTATCTCATGTCCCTACAAGATATATCAGCGGCTAAAAATAACTAGGCAATGTGGCTTGCGTCAGTCTCTTCGTCATACACACAAGATTATCGCTAATTTCTAGGCAGTCATGATTTGTGAATCTGTTTCCTTGGGTGTGTTGTCTCTGCCAGCAGCCGTGGCTACATTGGGTCTCGTCCCGTAAGTATTGCGAGAAAGGGAGATGCACATGTAGTGACTAACAGCGAACTAGAGGTGTTATCTTGATCGTCGGCCTTGGTCTTCTTGCATTGTACACAGGTTATAATATTGGTCTGTTTCGCGAGCGGTATCCTCACATTCAGAGTCTGGCAGATGCCGGAGAAATCCTGCTCGGCCGCTTTGGGCGCGAGCTGTTCGGTCTGGGCCAATTTCTCTTTTGCATCTTCGTCATGGGAAGTCATATTTTGACTTTCCGTGTCATGATGAATACCATTACCGAGCACGCTACCTGCTCCATCGTGTTCAGTGTGGTAGGTATGCTCATTTCAATGATATTATCTATCCCGCGAACGATGAAGGGAATGACGTGGGTTTCATTCGCCTCGTTCCTCAGTATCTTTGGCGCGGTCATGATTACCATGATCTCTGTGTCTGTGCAGGACTTCCCTGGCCGGACTATCGATGCCACGGTAGAGACAAACCTGTACACGGGATTCCAGGCCGTGTCCAATATTGTCTTCGCTTACTGCGCGCATGTAGCCTTCTTTGGTCTCATCGCAGAAATGGAGAACCCCAAGGATTTCAACAAGTCTTTACTCATGTTGCAGTCATTCGAGATCTGCTTGTACCTCACCGCTGCTGTTGTCATCTATTACTATGTTGGCACTGATGTTCACTCTCCTGCCTTGACCTCTGCCGGACCCGTAATGAAGAAGGTTGCCTATGGCATCGCTATCCCCACGGTACGAACTAACTCTTATTCTTTGGCCTCACAGAACTTTGCTAACCCACATCAGATTGTTGGCGCCGGTGTTGTAAACGGCCACATTGGTCTGAAGTATATCTATTTCCGGGCCTGCCGCAAGTCAGACCTTCTGCACAGCCGCAGCTGGAAGTCCGTCAGCATCTGGCTGGCGCTAGGATTTGTCTGTTGGGTTGTCGCGTGGATTATCTCCGAGGGTATCCCTGTCTTCAGCAATCTAAACAGCTTGATTGTATGTTTCTTCTCCGTCACTGCTTTGAGCAAACAGCGCTAAATCGTCTTCAGAGTGCCCTCTTCGCCAGTTGGTTCAGCTATGGGCTGAGCGGAATTTACTGGCTGCATCTGAACTATGGCCAATGGCTGTCCAGCCCAAGTAAAATTCTCTTGACCATACTCAACATTGGAATTGCGCTAATTGGTCTTATCCTTTGTGTCTTGGGTTTATATGCTTCGGGAACGGCTATTCATAATGATGCTAGCAGTACCGTCTTTTCCTGTGCTAATACTGATACATAATGGCCTGGCCAAAGCTCTACGGGAATGTGAGTGGACGGCTGGATTCTGTATCTATAGCGGCCGCCAAACTATGTTGTGTTAGTCTAAATAGCGTTGGGACTTTTTTTTTTTTTTTTTTTTTTTTTTTTTATATCCTTCGCTGCCTTCCCTTTCTTTCTTCCTTTTTATTTATCTATTTTTTTTTTTTTTTTTTTTTTTTTTTTTTTTTTTTTTTTTTTTTTTTTTTTTTTTTTTTTTTTTTTTTGTCTTTCTTTCCGGTGGTTCAGGGCATCCATACTTGCATCTATAGAGACCATAGATTAACTACCGATCAACCAGTGTAGTTCTGTTGCCGGTACCCACTTGCGTACTTTCAGAGCAAACAACCTCATTGAGTGCAGCGTGGTTATGATGATGATACGGCAATGAAACTCTTAAGCTACTCGAACTAATCATTCAGCCACGGATCCTGGAGAAGATCCTTCGCTGTCTTCCTATCTTCAGGCCGCCACTGAAGCATCCCTCTCATAAAAGCTATAAACATATCCTTATTTCTTTCCTCGAGGAACTCTTCTAAGAGTTCTAAGGTAGTGCCTGTTGGGATCTCTATGTCTTGCTTCCATTCACCTACCATATTGTCTTCGTAAGCCTTTGATAGTGTATAAAATGAGAGAAGGATACTTACCAACATTGGTAAAGAATTCATGACTTCGTTTTCCGCGCTGGAGCATATCTAGCGGAGGTGGCCCTAGAAGGCCCATGACTTCTGCAAGATGCGCCCGAGTCGAATACCCTTTGCCATCAGGGTCATTTCCATGAAAAAGATGTCTTCCCTCAAACAAATCCCACACCTATTATTCCCGAGTGATCAGTAGATGATATCGAGAGTAAGCAGGTAATGCATACCATAACGCCAACATTCCATATATCGACGGGATAGCTCCAATCCGTCTTTAGCATGACTTCCGGTGATCGATAAATATTGGGCTGTGCATCGTGATTCCTCCTCTCGTCTCCTTGCACAGCAGATCCGAAATCACTTAAAACTGCTCGGCCAAATATCTTCGGCAAATCGAACCGTCGTGAAGGATATACTGGCAAACCATTGACGGTCTTACGGGGAGACGGGTTCGTCAGCTCAGCTCGGGTAAAGCTTTCCAGGATTGACTTGTCTTCTATGTCTTGGAGAATATTATCGCTTTTGATGTCTATAGCAATGCAGGTTAGGACAACGCATTTCGACAAGGCCATGTGGATACCTCTTACCAGTGTGGACGAGCTTGCATTCAGTGTGCAGATAGTCAAGTGCCAGGAAGATCTGCATGAGACCGGATTTGAGGAGGTCTTCAGTGAATCGGTGGCTTGGATTACGACAGAGTAGGTCCTTGAAGCTTTCCCACATCGGTCTTTGAACAAGACACGGATGGTCACCGCCAGAACGGGAGATTGTGAAAATATCCAATGCTTTCCTTATATGAGGATAGCCAGGGTGCCATGAACTCCCTTGATTTAGTTGCTTATAAATCTGGAACTCTTCCCGATTACATTCATCACGAGTGTAGATTTTGAGTGTCACATATTGATGACCTCTGTTTGTGTCAGTGGGTCCGTGTTTAGTTACAATAAGTGGATCTGCCCTAACTCACTCCAGATCACGAGCGAGCCAGACAGTAGAAGTAGTCCCAAAACCAAGTTTACCAACAATTTGGTATTTCAAATTAAGTACGTCGCCAATATTAGCAGGATAGTATTGCCCTTGCTTGAAATGCTCAAACCGTTCCTCGTCCAGTACCTCCGAGGCACGGACGATTTCGAAGCCGCCGGTGGGAAAACACATAGGCGGGGAGGGGGGACTGCGAAACGCCTTGGTAGCCCATTTTATGAGGGTAGCCATTATGGACGCGCAGAAGGAGAAGAGGCTAGTTCATGTTGACGTGAGACAGGAAGAATGTAGAATCAAGCTGATGAGAGTCGAACTTGCGTTACTAAGGAGATTGCTGACTCAGCCTCCGCGCTGGCAGCATCCAGTCGTGCTTGTGCTTGCAAGTTCATGAGCTATTATTCTCGCCTCGAGAGAAGATCAAAGCGTGAGTCGCTAAGGAATTTGGGAACAAATGAGCCTATTGATAGCCGCCGAGGCTAAACATAATTTGATGTACCATCATCACTACACCACTGACAAAGGCCATCCTGAGTATTCCTTGAAACACATACTACGCCAGCCGCTTCGGCATATGGAATTCCAAGCCACGCGTAGACGTTGGGAGTGGTGCCATTGAAATTGCCACTCCCTATGTGATTATTAGTTCAACACAGTCACTATAATCGAAGTAGGAGCTCACCAGGGCCCGTTAAAGTTGTAACCATCAAACCGCCTCATATGTCAGAACCGGCATCTTCGTTACATTAAGCAAACGGGAGGACAGTCACCCATAGGAAAGAGAGAACTGCAAGAACAAACTGCATAGGCGAGATGCTATGGCGAGAGCCAGGAATATATAAAATCTGTTCATGAAATGCAGACAGGATCGCATCCGCAAGCGCTAACAGGTTTATAATCCCGGCTCACCTGTCGAGGGGCTTCAAGCAATAGATTGAACAACCCCTTGCTGTGCGATGGTTGAAAACCGAAAACATACTCATCAGTCCAAAATGTCAGGAAACGAACTCTATTATATATACCTCAAATGCCGTCCAACTTGTGGGGGTTCTAGCTAGTAGTAGCAAGCACCCTGGGAGACTCTCCGTTGATGGGTGCACCATACGTGGTATACTTAGCCGGGATAGCCATCATGGAAAAGTGAAGCACGTACTAATATATCTTGAAAGCGGTGTCTGCAGTGGTATACAATGAGCTGAGCTTAACTTCATCTTACTATTACGCCATATAAATTACAAGTTTGGAAGCCGATATATTCAGAAACTCGAATCAAAAGTCAAGGTAGGATTCAGCATGATTGCTGTCTTAAAGGTAATAAACCATCAAGCTACGCTGCCATAAGTAGGGTAATGTCTTATTGTATCCATACCTCTGTCAACTTTTATTTCCTCCACCAGGATTAGTCTATCTGGCTTATGGCGTGCTGCACTCGAGTACAAGGATGGCGAGTATCTTTTTGCATGGGCAGATATGGGCCAGAAGGGAGTGTCTTTGAGGAGAGGCGCTCTCACTAGGCATGGAATGTTCAAACTTGACTGACGATCCACCTGTTTCCAAGACTTTTTGCCTGTGTGCTATTTGATTGGACCCGAGCGGCATCGTTCGGAGGTGACCGAGAGAACCTCGGGCCCACCATAGCTCTCACCAATGATTGTTCAAATTTGCGAAATTAGCAGTGATTGCCCACTGAATGGCCTTGCGGAAGGATAAAGGTGAGAAATTGACGTTTTGCTGTTTTGAATGGTGCGCTGTTCCTCGACATTGCTCTGACTATCCTTCTTCCCTGCTGGCCCATTGTGCTGAATACCATGTCAGCAAAGCTCTGTTGATTTTGTACTCCCTTTGAAGACACCCAGCTTCTGCTCTTGATAGCCTTACGACAATCATGATTACAGAGGATCCATTGCCAGATGACGTCGAGGAAAACAGGTCGCAACGAGCCTCTTTATCCGCCCGATCCCTTCGCCGGAAACAACTCCAATCACATCTGGTGATTATCTCGCTCTTCCTCTGCCTTTTTCTGGCTGCCCTCGACGTAACTATAATTGCACCCGCATTGCCAGTCATCGCCAGCCACCTCAATGCGACAACATCACAATATACCTGGGTTGGCAGCGCCTATACTCTGGCTAGTACTTCCACAACACCCCTTTGGGCCAGGATATCAGACATATGGGGCCGGAGAGCAATTTTGATGCTTTCCAATGCTGTGTTTCTATGTGGAAGCCTTGTCTGTGCGCTGAGCAGAAGCCCTCTCATGCTCATCGGAGGACGAGCCGTACAAGGTGTGGGCAGTGGGGGAATCATTGTCATGGTCACCATAATAGTGGCAGATCTATTTCCGCTCCGCGAGAGGGCGAAATATTATGCCCTGACTGGCATTATTTGGGCTATCTCAAGTGGTGTTGGCCCTATTCTGGGGGGCGTATTTACACAAACGATTGGCTGGAGATGGTGCTGTGAGTTGCCTTACCAAGACTGTCGGACGTTACCTTGGTAGTCGTTTACTGATTACATTGATTCATTGCACCACAGTCTACATCAACCTGCCGTTTGATGGTCTCTCGTTGGTGGTCCTCTTTTTCTTTCTGCGTCTTGAACCGGTACGCGCAGCTGCTGGCACTCTCCGCTCGTTTGATTGGATTGGCTCTGTTCTCGTTGTCGGGGGTACTGTCTGCTTCTTGTATGGACTTGAATCCGGTAGCGGCAACGAGCACAACTGGGACTCCGCATTCACACTGGGCTTACTGATTGGGGGACTTGCGATTCTTGCGATATTTGGCTACTATGAGTGGTCTGTCGCAAAGTGTCCCATCTTACCCCTCCGCAGTTTGGTTAGTCGATCAACGATCCCTTGCTTTTTGACGGCCTTCTTTCACAGTTTCACGTTTATCGCCTATGATTACTTCAACCCGCTGTACTTTCAACTTGTCCTGCATGTCAGCCCCATTCAATCGGGTCTATACCTGTTCTCCCTGGTACTACCTCTGTCCGCGATGACACTCGCGAGCGGATTCTTCGTCCAACGCACAGGCGCATACCGTCCAGCGATATGGTTTGGAAGCTCGTTCATGGTAGCTGGGACGGGCTTGTTCATCGATTTTGGGCCCCATTTGGTGTTGTGGAAAATCGTGATCTACCAGCTCATTGCTGGTGTTGGTGCTGGGCCCCTGTTTCAGGCACCGATGATTGCGTTTCAGAGTGCCCTGAAGCCGGAGAATGTGGCCACCGGCAATGCGGCTTTAACCTTTCTAAAGAATCTGGCAACGTCTCTCTCGCTAGTTATTGGGGGTGTGGTGGCGCAGAGTGGGTTAGGGGATGTTCGTTTGTCTAGCCTCAATGGTGATGGCGAGACTGATGAGGGGGGTGTCAATCAAACGGCGCTTCTTCCCGGCTTGCGGAATATGTGGATCTTTTATACGGCTATTTGTGGTACCATGGCAATTGTATCGCTTGCGATCAAGAAGTACAGCCTGAGTCAGGATAACGAAAGTGAAAGGGGGGTTAACAACGCTGATTGACAGTTGCTACGATTTTGTATGGGGACATACAGTTGAAGAGCTAGCGGCGGGTATCCTCGGTCGCTCAGAGTGCCAGGACTTTAATATCTACTTTGTTCCAAAGCATGTCGACCAGACCTTGCCCTATTTGCCTGTCGCTAGCACGGCTCTACAGTGCGAGGGCAGAAATAGTCACCCACCATTGCCCACAGTAACATGGAATCTTCCTGTCTACAACAGGAGTCCAGGCGAGCTACATCTAGCCTCTAAGGGAAGCGTTGTAGATAGTCAATAAATGACAGGGCAAGCTGCTCATCTTCCATCGATATCCAGTTTCCATTGAGTTCCGGATGGAAGGCTTGAGCGAAGATCATAGGTAATGCGATTAATTGCGTCAAGGGACATATGCTCGCATTGGAGACTTACAGGACTTGTATTTTGTTCTGGAATAATCATATCCTATGTCGTATGAATATGCAAGCAGACCATCTCCCGAGTCTTGGCTTTATTGTTCCGAGTCAAGCGGAAGTGAGCCAAAATGCTGAGCTCCGATTGGACCCGAGCCGCCGCCGAGGCCACCCAATCTCATTATTTTGATCGGCTGCTTATGACTACGGATTACCGAGACCGTGTAGAAAAAAAGATGCATGTCGAGGGGTTCCCGATGTAAGACATACGGGCACTGAGTGATTTTCCGGACTATGCGGCGCGGAGTGGTGATCCGTTGCCAACACCGTAGCGGAAGTTCAACAAGCAAATAAACGGAGTTCTTGGGTATCTTCCAGGCTCCGAGCTCTCCTGCAGACATGGGTGCCTAGTTCCTGTGCGCCCGGTATAAATAAGCTTTCACTCTTGTCAACAAGCGGGTTCTGAGGAATACGATTCTCGGGACAGAGAACTATGACACCCAAGTATCCGCTTGAGGTTCTCCTCTAGAATCTAGCCCTTGGAGTCATGATCATGAAGAGACAGGAACCTACTTTGTGCGAGCGAGTGTGTCTTCTACAGCCCACTGAGCAGCAGGATCCGCCGATTGGGGTATTTGGCCCAACGTTGTACTGGTGATCTTTCTCGCCAAATCTGAACGCCATCACGCACACTCGAGGAGTGTTCTCCTGCTTCTTTTACTTTTTCCTCTTCACTCTATTTACACTTTAGTACCGGCGAAGTAGGACTGCTATCCAAGGACTCATATCAAACGTTTCTAGCCCACGACGTTCTTCCTGTTATAAAAGCTAAATCTAGACTAGACTACAGAATAATAATTCTCCGAGATCTGAAGGAATCTCAAGGATACTAATACTACAAGTACTACTCCTGACAGCTAGCCATGGCTTGGCAAAATATGATATACCTTGGATATCGGCCAAGCCCATGGGACAATAAGTCGTATGGAACGCAATAAGATACCGCTTAAAAGGTCAGCATCACTGTGTACTTTACAAATTATCTACTATATTGGAAAATGATTGCTCACGAGGCTATACTGCTTAAAAAGCTATATTAACGAAAATGATCCGATTCTATTTACCATTCAGTGGTACAGTTCAGCTCAGCCGGTGAGGGGGATGATCGACTAACCCCGCATAACCCAGGATCCCACGAAGCAATGATAAACACTGCGTAACTATTCACCAAGCTCGTTTCGATCCGCTGCGAGATTACAGAAATGATCTGCATGATCGCTCAATTTAATCCAACCCCACCCGGTAGTGGCGAGCTGAGCTCGACTAAATCTGGACCTGAACTGTCTACGCGTTTCCACAACATGAGGGGACACTACCTCAGCTGGGATGGGTCTGTGAGCTCACATCTCCACTACGAGGATCGAGCAACCGCAGTGTGGCAGGTACCATTGGTTCTGAGCTGCCAATCCCATCACCTGTAGCCTCACAGCTACTCATTGAAGGAGTCGCCCATACCTCAACTGCTCCAGCGATCATGATATGAAGGATGGCCGTGCGTCAGAGGTCAAAGACATAAATACCGCCGGCTTTCCCAGTCTGCCATTAGGCATTATCACTTCAAGCAGTGAGCATTTGTCATCTCTTCGCATCAGGCCCTGTGAGTCTACAAGATCCTACCTATCCACCATCCATCTGACGGCAACCCCTAGTCACCTTGTTACACAACACTGCCAAAATGCTTGTATACACTGGCAAGATCAACTACGGTAGTTATGCCCAAGATGAGATCATTACTGTCATCTTTGGTGAAAACTCCGCGACCATGGACGAGCCGGTCATTGCAACCTGGCAGTGGACTCAGAATGCTGCCGGTGAAAGGAAGGCAAACTCGATCCACATCGGGACCCTGAACGGGTTGCGAAACCTGAACACAGGGGAGAGGCAGATCGAGTTCCTTCAGAATCAGGCGTCGGAGTCCTACTACTGGTAAGTGTCTCCGCTCTTTTATTCTCATCCTCACCAGACTGTCGCTGAAAGACTTTTCGTGTAGGTTTAAGGGGCAGGTGACAGAGTCCGGTTTAACCTTGACCATGTTTAACGAAAGGGATGAGTTCTGTGTCGACAACATCACTCTTGAACGTACATATTCATCTTAAAGTTCCCTTGGGCCTTAGTATCGTTTGCACTTGGTGCTGGCTTTCCTTATTCCTATTCAAGTGAGAAGTCCAGTCGCAGGTGCGGCTATATGGATGAAGAGGCCAAGAGGGGAGGTGACATAGAAATTGACCATGACATGAACTGATTGAAATGACTCCCTATACAAATGTAATCTCTTCAATAAAGACGTGAACGCGAGAATCGTAGCCCTACGTCATGTGACGACCTCATGCTGAGCCATGCCTTAATAAATTACATATTTTTAAATTAATTCTGTATAAACTACCACGGTAACTTGTATATTCTTAGAACTTGAGTTTTAAACCATTTATAAAAGAACCAGTTTAAAAACATATAATCCATTGACAGTAGTAGTAATACTAAAGATTGACTCATATCTATCACAAAACGTACTCAGTTCAGCGGTGGAATAAGGCTATGTACATACAATGGCCGTATAAAACACCCAGATTTCGGTAAGAAATCTCGATTGTCCGGAACTTCGATTTGGTCGGCCATAGTGCCCCGCACTCTGGATGAATGTTTTACGCCCTCCACAACAGCACGCCCATAACTCAGCCAGCCACGAACCAGGCCATCATACATCGTGGCTCAAAAGTCTAAATCGCAACTACAAAGCGGCCTGACCACACAGATCCGTTCACAGTGGAGAAACCCTCCAGCTGAAGCGAGAATCTTTCTATCAACCGATGGGTTTCGGGGGGATGAGCTGAATAGTGGGGTTCGATCGACGTCGTCCAACCCCTCCTCGGGTATCGAGAAGCGGTGAGAAAAGCGAGTATGTATACACAGTCTTGATTGTTTGGGAGCTCTCGTTGATCCCGTCTTCGAAATATGTGCTCTGACCATAGGTAGTTTGTGAACCTGGGTATCAAGGGCACAACTTACCTAGATACTTACACAGTCACACTCACCTTATGACTTGCTAAGTGGACCTGTTAGCTTATCTACCACACAGATTTTAGCGGGAGTTTCAATTAAACGCTGTGGATTTCTTCGACCCGCATCGGCAGCCATGGAGATACGCAGGACTGTGTAGGTTAACCCGACCCGCAAAAAAAACGAACCCGACAGTCCGCTACTAGACCCGATTAGGCAATATATGCCTGGGTAATCAGGCACCGATCACACCACTGCGATGTCCAATCCCGACGTCATTCGTGCCCTTACCGGCTGGTCCAGCCCACGAACTACTATCCCAAGGAGACTGGCTGCCTATTATATGCGTCGGGCGGCTTCGAGTCAGTTGACGGATACGGGTCACCCCACTACAATCCATTTGAGAGCGAGAAGCTACAGCCGAGTCCATTTGTCACTGCCAAATGAGAGTTGACTTGATTGTCTAGATCACACCTGACCTGGCATCATATCTCATTTTCCATGGTTTTGCAAGGTGGCCTGACTGATGGTAACAGCAGTGTGTTCTAGGGTATACCATCAGTGTATACCTTGGAATATATAAATTTGGTCTCACCCGATTCGAACACGAAGGTCCTGCTTATAGCTTATCGTGGCAAACAAACTCTTGTAGCTGTATCTTGTTTCAACTCCTCGAAAATGCCATTTGGCTCGCTCTCAGTATCCAACACGGCCATCCCACAGTATGCTCCCCCGTATCCTGTAGGTGGCAGCGACTACACATGTGAAAATGGTCTCATCGTTACCTATCAAACATCACTCCAATGTGTGCGCCATCTTGTGCCGGACATGCTGGAGCTCGAGGATGAGCCACAAGTAACAGTGATGGTTTTACAACACACAATGACCTCATTCGGACCGTACAATGAGTATGTCCACGCGGTCCAAGTCAAATACAAGGGCGACACTTTTGACTACTTCCTGTCCCTGATCCTAGACAATGACTCGCCGATACTCTGCGGCCGCGAACAATTCGGCTTCCCCAAGAGGTTGGGGAATGTGGTGTTGACGTCGAAAACGGGATCGACAGTCGTTCACAGCTATGTTGAGAGACCTACAGGCCAAAGGGTGATTGAAGTCGGGTTCCAGCCGGAACAGAGACTCAGGGGTACGGTGGAGAGGACAATCCCGGGGTTAAATTTGAGAGTCATCCCCTCAGTGGTCCCGGGTCAGGGTCCGTCCATCAAAGAATTGGTGCCAGTTGACATCACAATGGAGGCAAATGAGGTTTGGGAAGGCTCTGGTTCAATCTGCTTCCCGGAGCCATCAAGATTCGATCCGATGCATGATGTCAGAGTGCTTCGATATATAAACGCGACTCTAGTGCGGAAGGCAGCCCTTGCGATCCGTTTGCCGACCAAAGTGTTCCAGCTATAATCATGCTGTATTCCATGCGAAAGTGAATGTGTCTATACCGTGCAACACTGGAGAGGTGTTAATAGCAAACAATATAGTAGCTTTTCAATGAATAAACTACAATATATATCTGTTATGGGAAAATGTCATTCAATATGACCAGCTATTTTCTTTTTTGATATGACAGGTCCTTGATGGTGAGGGCGTGCGTCTAGGAAAACGCGCCCCCCAACTAGGCCAAAAGCTCATATTATTCTGAATCCATGATTCGGAATACCCTAGATCGCACCTAAAAGCTCACCACCGTTACTCAGATGGTCATAGCTTCGCCAGTGTAAATTATCTTATGATATATCGGACTTTGGTTGGGTCTAGTAGACAACTTGTACCACTCTATATATAACCTTTCCATCATGTGTAAACATTCCTTGAAGATTCCAGTGATAGGCATACTATGATACAATTTCGCGCGACCAAAACTGACATTATGGTCATGACCCTGGTGCTACAGTTTCACTCCTCTCGAAGCTTTCGCTGCGTCCCTTAGCTGCCTTCTTAGTATCTTTCCAGTGGGACTTTTTGGGATCGCTTCAAGGAAAACCACGCCACCTCGTAATTGTTTGTGAGAGGCCAAGTTGGCTTTCACAAATGCTTTGATCATAGCCTCCGTTATCTGACTTGGGTCTGCCACCACATACGCCCTAGGAAGTTCATTCCCCTCCATAACCGGATCAGGGACGCCAACCACAGCAGCGTCCCGAATATGCGAATGGGAGAGTAGAAGCGCTTCCAGCTCCGCTGGTGCTACCTGGAGACCTTTATACTTGATCATTTCCTGAGGTTGAACTTTGAGCATCCCGCATCAGGTCTTCCCGGGGAGATCCAGCACTCACCTTCTTCCGGTCAACAATGAAAATTTTACCGTCCATGCAATAACCCAGATCTCCCGTTTTGAACCAGGCCCCGTCTGCAGTAAAGCTCTCTCTAGAGGCCTTTTGATTTTTCCAGTATCCCTGAGTAACCATTGGGCCTTGAACTACAAACTCGCCTATTTCCCCCTCACTCACGTCATTTTCAGAATCATCAACAACCCGTAGTCGGATGTTTGCAATCAGAGGGGAGACACTGCCATCCGCTACATGGGCGTCCCACGGTGAGACGGTAACGCTGCCTGTGGTTTCACTAAGACCCCATGTTTGAGTTACTGCACAACCCAGTTTGTTTTCCGACCTTTTCACGAGGTCAGGACCCATGGGAGCGGCACCGGAGACTGCGTGGAGTAGGTATTGAAACTGGTCTGTAACTAACGAGCTCTGTACAATTAGCTGGAATATCGGGGGTACTGTGAAGAAGAACGTGACGCGGTACTCTTTGCAGTAGGAGAGGAACTTCTGGAAGTCAAACTTCGGCATCCAGTACACTGCTCCACCACACAGCGCTGGCTGAATAAAATAGCCCTGGCAACCGGCAATGTGAGCAGCGGGGAGATGGGCAATGGTGCGGTATTCCGGGTGGAAATCCGCAGACCTTGTTTTCTGACGGGATATATAATCCCGATAGGTGAATAGATTCACCATGGCGGAGGATACCAGGTTCTGGTGGGAGATCCTTACACCTATAGACAAGGGATCCCATGAGCGGTCAACTGACTGAGAGGTTAAGATAAACTCACCTTTGGGCTCGCCCGTTGTACCACTGCTGTATATCAAGCAGCCGGTGCGGCTTTTGAGGATAGCCGGATCTGAGACCTTCTCCCACTGCAGCTGGCCTGGATATTGTTCTAGTAAATTGACAGTTTCCTGGGAACAAGCGGCCAGATGACGCTTCCCTCCCCGACTTTCTAGGACCAACACCCTTGACGGCGACATAGCGCACTTTTCTGCTGCTTGCAATGCAATACTTTTGCAGTCTTCGCTCGTGATCAACAACTGACAACCACCGTGTTCTAACTGCCGTGCCAGTTCTGCTACGGTGAGGCTGGAGCTAGCTGCACTGTAGACCCCTCCTGCGGCGATAACCCCATAGAACACCGAAGGTAACAGGACTTGGCCAGACGAGATGCAGGCAACGACATCTTTCCCTGGGCAATTGGCCCCGATACCATATCCCTCACGCAGAGCGTGAGCAATTCTTTTGGTGTACGATCGGCATTGGGCTTTTGTCACGCAATTCGCTGTGTTCCCTGCTTCGATATGCAACACGGTATCATCGGTGGATAAGCTCAATGGGTAGTCTGTGTCCCGTCAGTTTAAATGCCACTTTCCAAGGATTATATTAGGGTTGTCACCAAAGATCAGCGATAAAGGATCAATGTCCGGTAGCCAATAGTCCTTCGCTGCGTTGTAGATGGTACGGACGGACATGACTGCGAATACGACGAGAGACGTTGGTCTGGATAGGAGCTCCTCTTGCCATAAATGTATGAGATACCCTCATTATATTTCACATTTATGCTGGGTCGATGTATAATCTGGCCCATCTGGCGTATCGGAATCGGGATGTCAATTCCACCGGAAGTCACTGTGGACCTCGGCAACTTCTACGATGACTTCCGACACGCACGTCTGGGGTAATGCAGACTTCCGAAACGTTTCTGACCGGCTCCCATAGCCAGTAAAATAGTGTAAGACCGGCTATGATGAAGCCAGCTCGCGCTCGGAATGCATGTATGAGATGTCGCAGGCAAAAGTTGAAGGTTTGTTACCCCCCTGGACACAGCCGCGGTCTCATACTAACAGCATGTGAGTGCGACAATATACGGCCCTGCCAGCTGTGCTCTCGAGCTGGGGTAGACTGCCAAAGCGTCGTTAGTAAAAGGTAAATGTGAATCTTACTCAGCCTTATGTTCCGAGACTAGCTAACTAACTTGCGACTGTTACCAGGAGGCAGCCCAACTTGAGACCACTGCGACAGAGAGATATCAGCGGTCTGAGCACCACTGGTGAACCGGCACCACCACGCCCTACCGTCGCTAGTGCTATCGAAAGTACTCCTATACATGAAGCTGCCCCCCTTATAAACCCACTTGCGGAAGATCGGGGTCCTTCCACCTTCCACCTAGTTGAACAGGTACCTCCACTCTGTCTATACTTAATGCTCTTGGTTTCTTCTGACCTCCCTTAGCTTTTTCGCAACCATCTGAGAAATCTGCGACAGTCAGATGCTATTCCGGATGGCCACCCAGCTAGCAAGAATCCCGCCCAGGACACAGTTAAGATACCAGTCAAAGATCTGGTTGGAGTTCAGCTGCCCTCAGACCCAGTCGCTACAATACTCATCGACGCATATCTGCAGGCAAACCATTGGTACCTCGCACTCTTCCATGTGCAAACTTTTCGAGCTCGTGCAATGCCTATGATACAAATTGGTGCTGCCGCAGTGTCTGAAAAGCCCTTCTTATTATTACTGCTGGTAGTTCTGATGATCGGAACCCGATTCGTCCAGCCAGAAATTATTACAACACACGATCCTGTATTCAATATTGAGTCCTATCGTAACCAAGTACTCAATGCTGTTGAGCAGCATTTATTCTCGTCGCTACACGAGGCAGATCTCGAATCTATTGGATGTGCCCTCTTAATGTCCATTGAATACCTTCTAGAGGGAAAGACGAAGTTGGCATTTGTACTATCTGGCATGGGACTTCGCATCGCCCACGCCATCGGGCTACATGACGAAAGTACTTGGGATCCACTAGAGAACGTCGAGTTACAGGTTCGACGGAGGGTATGGTGGGCAATATATATGGCCGATGGGTAGGGTAACCGTTATTATCCTCAGATCATGCCTGAAACGATCTGACTTTGAACCTTCATTATAGGTACGCTGCACAGGCGTACGGCAAACCGCCAATCCAGGCCGGGGGACGGTTCCGCGTTTTAGAACCTCAGGACCTGGACGATATAACAACCTGTCCTGGCATTACCTCGTACGAGGTGCGAGAAGACGGTTCCCTGAGACCCGTCAGCTCATTCTCATACAACCGATATAAAGCCCAACTGTACTCGATAATGTCCGCTGTAATGCCTGGCATGCGATTGAAAGAAATCAAAGACGTATACAGCCGCCTCTCGGCTTGGGAAGCAATGATTCCTACCGAATTACGGCTAGATATTCACAGAAATTACGAAGGGGAGATGCAAGACAAAGGGCCACGCGTATTTACACTGCAGGCACTGACTCTCCAGCTCGCCTTTGACCATAATATGTTATTACTACTCCGCCCATTTCTGGTCAGCAAACGGCACTTGAGCATCCAGGTATTCTCTCAGTCCGAACCCAATAGCAGCGAGAGTCCCGTTACGGTCCGAGACCAAATGATAACATCGGCCATCCGAATATCCAGTATTCACCAACATCGAGGGATTATACGTCTGGTTTCCAATACAACGGCTGCTGCGCAGGTGTGCTTCCAGTGCTTCACCGCTGGTGTCATTGTGGCAATGCTCGCACTATCCGATGTCTCTTCACCTCAAGTACCGAAGTTCAAGCAAGCACTCGCTCGTTTGATTAATATATTGTCCCTAGCAGGATCGGGGACGCTACTCAGTAAACAAAGCGTGGAAATTCTAACGGACACAATGCATATTATTTCGTCGCAAGAGGTCAGCGCGCTGATCGATCGTGTGGCGGGTGATTCCGAGACAGAACACTCACCATTGGGTAATCGGGAGGCTGAGCGCGCTTTGGGTGACGTCCAGGCCCCTGAAGTCTCGTCTGATGTTGCGGTAGATGATGAAGAGATTTGGGGGGAGCTGGGGAGACCACTCGATTTGGATGGATTTGATATCTCTAGCTCGACGTCGCTCTACCAGCAGCTTGCTCTTTTTCTCTGAGTTCACTTGTATGTATACGTAATGGGCCAACTAATTAGAATGTTCAATTTATGGAAGCTATAAATTGTGGATAGTGTCCGGCATCCTGGTTTTGTGGGTGTATTGCTACACCGTTCCATATATCTAGGCTCGATGATTGGTTGTTACCGAATGTATAGATCGAAGAAGAGGAAGCTCAACGTCAAATGCTTCCAGATAACCCATCGTGAAAATGGTGGGGTATTCTGAAGCTACACCCTACCCTCTGGTGCATGTGAATACATCTGATTTGTTGAGAAAACAAGAATATCGGCTTGGTTCATGCTGAAATCGTCTTCGTGTTGTGTTGAATGTGGATTAGCTACGGTATAAGGAAAAGCTTTGCTACCGCACCATTTTCGTAACTATCCCAGACCGATATTCCGAGTAAAGATACGACGAGCACTGCTCTGAGCTAGAGTTCTCCGATGTTACAACCCCAATCCTCCAAACTCTCGGCAACTAAAGTTCTGAATTCCGGTGGCATTCGGATGTTACGCTCCACCCAAATTGCTCTCGGAATATTGTCCAATCAGTGTCCTCCTAAAGCACTCCAATGTTGGATTTAGCTCTAGAATCCCGATCTCCACAATCTTGTTTACATCCAATTCCGTTGAAAGAACGTGGAGCGTGGTGTGATGAAGCCATGGTGGACCGAGGTAGCTCTGCAACTCTCTTAAATCAGACTGGGCATATATAAAGGAAAGTTTCATGCCAGACACGAAGATAAAACTGTTACCCCTCGCTGCACAACCCACACTCTAGACAGAAAGCACTACCGTACTCCGAGAATCGAAAAGAAAAATGGCAACCGCTAACTCGAAAAAGCCATCATCCTCCACCGAGGGATTCTTCCAATCCCTGCCCCTCGTCCCACCAGCCTACACTTCTAACAACGACCACACCCAATCCGCCCAAAAGCTTTCCGACGACATAGCCCTCGCCCGGGTATTAGATCTCTACCTCCCTCAGAATTGCCCTTCGGTAACAACCTCCATCCACAACCTATCCCGCCTCGCCCTCGACCCCAAAATCCTCCAACTGGGTGTCGACGCAGAGGTAAACCAACCTACCCTCAGAGCCCTCACGACATTTGGCGAAGAGAACCGCGTTGACCCGCTGTGGGTGAGTGAGGGGTGGCGGAAACTGAAGGCAATCGGACAGGAGGAAGGGCTTGTCGCTGTCGCTTACGAGCGAGAGAATGAGTCCTGGAATCGGCGAGTGCATCAGTTTGCGCTAAATCATGTGTGGACTAGTAGTTCGGCTATGACGGGGTGTCCGGCGTCTATGAGCGATGGGGCAGCGAAATTGCTCTTTGCTCATCTGGATCGCCCCGACGGGGATCAACCAGGGCGTGGTGAGGTGCTGAGAGAATCTCATCGGAGGCTTGTATCGCGAGACCCCAGTGTGGCGTGGACGTCTGGGCAGTGGATGACGGAGCGCCGCGGCGGGAGTGATGTTCGGGGGACGGAGACGGTTGCCCGGCGGTTAACAATGGAGGAAGTATCCATGGATAGTGCGCAAGGCAGGGATCGAGACGCGCATGGACTGCCACTGGGGCCGTGGCGAGTTGACGGGTTTAAATGGTTTAGCAGCGCCACGGACTCCGATATGACGCTTTTACTGGCCCAGACCAGGAAGGGACTGAGCCTGTTCTATGTTCCGATGCGCCGCTGTGCCGGCAATCAAGGGAAGGCACCTGAATTGAATGGTATCCGGATCCAGCGGTTGAAGAATAAGCTGGGCACGAAATCACTCCCAACCGCTGAACTGGAGCTGAAGGGTGTTCGAGGGTGGCTTATTGGAGAGGAAGGGAAGGGCGTTAAGGAAATTGCTACTGTTCTTAACATTACTCGGCTCTACACTGCCGGTGGCTCACTGGGATACTGGGGTCGCGGGCTGGCTCTCTGTCGCGCGTATAGTAGGATCCGCTCAACACAGGGGAAGCTTCTTCAAGACAACCAACTACATGTGCGGTGGATGGCGAGTGAGACGGTGAAGTACTGGGCAGCAATGCAGCTGACCTTCTTTGCCGTTTCTCTACAGGGCACAATCGAGCAAGACTGGGGTTCAATGGTTCAAAACACCAAAGCGGCCAAGTTAATCCCCAGCGATGCGGCAACAGCGGCAGCTCTACTCCGACTGGTCACTCCCGTGATGAAGGGTACTGTGAGTGTGAATGCGGTTCATGGACTTCGTTCCTGCATGGAGTGCCTAGGTGGCGTTGGCTACTGTGAGAATAATGAAGACGGTGGTTTGCTAAACATTGCAAGAATCTTCCGCGATGCCGCAGTCAACGCTATCTGGGAAGGAACTGTCAATGTGATGGCGGAAGATGTTGTTCGAGTAATTAATGACAAGCGCCTAGGAAAGGGAAAGATTATTGAGACAGTACTTGGTGCATGGGCCAGACCTATTCTAGCAGTTTGCAGCCAGAAACTGAGGGAGGAATGCAAGATTATGGAGCAATGCTTGGATACCTTCCAATCCATTACGTCCGGGCACACGAAGGAAGAGCTCCTATACCGGGGCCGGGAACTCATGCAGTATATCGAGGTAGTTGTATGCGGCACGCTACTGATATACGATGCTTTTTCGGACGATAGTCGAGTTGCAAAAGAGGTTGCATCTCGGTGGATACGGGGCAACACTCCGTCAAGCATCCATATCGCTTTACCTGCTATTACGTTGTCCGAGGAGTCTGCTACTGACAGGCGGGTATTCCTGGGGGACACTCCCTTGTCACACGGAGAACTCTCCAAGCTGTAGCTATCTATCCTATGCTAATAGTCACCTTGGTAGTGAGTCTCTTTATTTAAGGGTGTAATAAAATCAAGTTCGATAGGGTTGATGAGGTCGCCGTTTATCAGAATACATCTGATGTCAATTAACCAGTCTACATAGTAATCAACCTGTGAGTCGGCTCAATGCGAGTGTCCCAGAGGAAAACGTTGAGTTGTTTTATCCCATGTCGAGTGAGCCAAGTCTATTGGCGGTCATAACGTCGGGAGTTACGTATGGGAATCGGTTCACTCCCTGGGACACACATCCAGTTGCAATCCTTAAATGAAGGTCGGTCCCATGAAATACTAGGTAGGAGATCACCCAGGCGGGTAAACGGTATGATGCCAACCGATGATTAGACTGGACAGCATCAGCCAGATCCAAATTGGCTGCCGACAGGCACGGCGATTGTGCTGTCCATGCCCTATACACCCATGGAGTTCAGATGAGGTGCGAGCAGTCTCTTCGCATCAGAAGATGCTACGCTTCGCGTCCGCCAGGTCAAAACAGTTCTCGAGGAGGTATCTCCCCTCGTCACGATCTCGCTGCAGCAGAGTCCAGGGAAGCTGCGGGGCCGCTCATCATTCAAATCTGTCTTGCTACTGGAATTCCCGCTAAAGCGTCATCGAAGCCCGTGTTCTCGGGGAAAGTACAGGAAAGGCGAGATCCTATTTGGATCAAGCTATAAACGGAGCCACAGATCATCAAGGCGCAGGCTGTACTTTGACCAGCTCCTCCCGTCCCAAACCTTCGCCGATTTTAGTGAATCCAACGCAGCTAGTGTTCCATTCCTGTGTATTTTTTTTTTATTTATTTTTTCCCCTCCTTCTCATCAAATGAAAAGGGCTACGGGATACACGTGTACCAGCCAAGATTGGGGCTGTGCCCACGCCCACTGGTAGTCGCTGCACAGCCTCCTCGTCTCCACACAAGATACTATACAGATCACGAAGCTTCCCCACCAAAACACACCCCAATATACCAGCAAGGGTTTGGGTGCTGCGGGGGACTTCGAGCGGGGCCGACTTGATCCACCCGGCATTAACAGACCACAGTTCGGCACAGATCTAGGTTTGGTTGTAATTCGCATAGTATGTGACCGGCCACGTTGGCATTCTCTTGGCTCCCTAAGCTCCTATTATAACATCACTGTCTTCTTTCTCTTCTTTCTCCATTCACCGTCTCCAACCCAATCCTCCAGTGTGATATAACGTGCGCCGTAACACGGGTATACCCATCCACCATGTCTGTCGAAATTGCTCAGCTCCACAGCGAGGTCGAGGCTCTCGTCGAGAAGTTTGACGTTCTATCCAAGATCAAGGAAATTCAGGAGGGGGGCGATGTCCTTTCATCAGGTGAGTAATCAATTCCCCTCCAATATTCACCAGTGCTGTGGCGTTCTACTAACCATACGGGCGGGATATATGCAGTCCCTGTGACCATCTCGGTCACTGCCGAAGCCACCATCAGTCTCCTTGCGGACCAGTCAACGATCAGCAAGTCCACTGAAGCCGCGACGAGCCTCTCCAAGGGCGACAAGGCCTCCTTCCAGATCACTCAGGGGGACGAACTAAAGTACACCGTCACGGCCGGTGGCCTCACGACCGACTTCAAGATCGTCTTCGACGTTGACAAGAGCGCACCCAAATTGAAGCTCAGCGACGAGCTGGAGGCCGACGACGTCCCAATTGGATTCGAGACCACCAAGACCGAGACCAAGACGGAGATCGAAATCGAACGCGAGGTAGAGGTAGAGAAGGAATGGACCAAGGGCAAGAGGCCAGAGAGAAAGACGAGTAAAGAGACGAAGCACGAGGCCAAGGCTGGTCCTTACTCCCTCCAGTACGAGGTCGAGACCAAGTTCAAGCTGGAGAAAGATAAGAGCGAGACGGAAACTGAGACTGAGATTGAGATTAGCAACAAGACGGTCCAAATTGAGTACGTTATCTACTAAAGACTGGGCTTTCACACCACTGCTGCTGCTGCTGCTGCTGGAATAAAGCACAAAGGAAGGAATATAAATCTATGATTCAGGTATTTTTCTCTTTCTGTTGCTTTTCTCCCCCTATACCTACTAGAAGTAGACAATAATAGTAGTTTTGGTCTCGGTTTATTTATTGAAAGGAGTTCTATAAGTACAGAAGTTACACCTAACTAATCTTCCCACGAGCTTTGATAATATATCGTCATAATTGCTCTCCGTACCGTCATAATCAATAATACACCAGCTGTCGCTGTCACCCTTCTATCTTGCCACAGCGCGATTCCTATGTATCTACGAGCCAGTACCGGTAGAGCATATGATTTTGATCAGATAGTAGCTACGCTCTGATCCAGCATAGTTGTACTATCAAAGATACCGTGCCCCCTGCACGCTTCCTCTGTAGTTCCCACTTGGTTGTGTTTCGGCTGTCCTCTACTAGAGATTGTTTCTCGCGATATATCAAATCGCAGGTGCTACGTTACGTCCATGCGTTGTTCCTACGCTTTCTATACTGCTGTTTATGACCAGTATCTCTCCTAAGAATTTATTTCTCTGGGTCGAATTGCCAGAGTGATTACAACAACCGACATTTGGCCCATCAATCCCTTCATGTCTCAAATGGAATGAAGACAATTTATTCCCCTTGGTAAAACGCTCAATCGTCTACAATTAGTCATATAACCAAGCCCTATAACACATTGTTCGTAGATCGCTTGGGCTCAAGTATATCCCACATAAGGGCCATTACTAACATCACCGACAACAAATTGCGCCTTTCATCAAAGACAGTACCACAATCTGTAAGTCCATATCTGAATTACTCAGCATATTCCGGAATGTTGTCTCCTCTGGGATGCGATAATTGCCCGACGTGAAAATCGCAGCGTCCATAATATTGCTCGGATTGTGCGCTCTCAGCACTTACATCGAGTTGTTTACGACAAGCCTCAGTGGTATCTCTAAGGTCCTTATAGGATACCTGTTCACAATTATGCCAGAAAATGTCGTCCGACGAAAGCCGCATCCCTCGGCAAGCAGCATATGTAGACATTGGCTTACATAGCCTTTCAAGGGTATCTCTCTATTGACTACGGCAATTGTTTCCTAGATCTCATTCATACTAAGGTCTCGTATACGTGATAATGTATGTATCGATTGTCTGGGGATCTGCTACAATTTGCGCCGGGCATTTCCCAACACCATTTATATACGTCAAGGGAAAATACAGCGCTTCTGAAATCCATCGAATGCAGAACCAAAAGTGGCCGGTTGGAGAACATCCACACACTCAGATCATGGATCACGAAGTCAACACCATCTGAAGCAATCATTATATAGAACAACGAAGATATGTTCGTCATTATGGTCCAAAGAATGAAATATCCGAGGCCTGTGCAACGGGGGAATATGTCTCGTCTGCTACGCTTAGATGCTGACGATCGCTTAGCCACGGACCCTAGGACCCGGCACGCCACTGCCGTCTATTTGCGTGGGAATGATGGAGTAAGGTGGAATAGGAAAGCCGCGTATGATCTGCTTGGTCCAAGACACTGATCCGATCCGGCTTGCTGCGCTCTGGGCGCTGATGGATTTGGACGGAATGTTGGGGTATGGATAGTGATTCAATAGGCAAAAGACAATGCACGATAAGTATAATGGAATGCAAGAGACCATTTCCCGTTTTGAAAAATTTTTCTTTCGTTCCGTACTAGGTTCAGCTAGCCCTAATTGCAATTCTGATCCAGCACCTATCTTACCAGCTTCTGCAACCCCATCATCACATCATGTCACCCAATTGCATCAGATCGGACCCTGATTTCTAGCTGACTTGCAAGTCACAGGACAAATACCGGATAGCTCCGAATCCGCACTGCAGGGCAACTCGTATCTGCATTCATTAAACATAAGCGTGGCACATTCCGAGTGGTTATATCCGAGATAATATTCACAGCACATCCTTGGCAGGCGCAGGTAACTCAAACCCGACCAATGACCATCTTGAACTGCATGCAGCTATTGCATATGGTCGCTCAGTCACAGATATAAATACTTTGGAAGGTCTAGATGCGCTCCATATTACTTTTTCGGCGTAATTTAGGGATCGCCAAGTCCGTGAGATCCTGATTCTAATTTGCAAATGAAAGTTCTTAGATGAAGGGTAAGGGATTATATATTCCATGTCAAGGATGCCTTTGTTCCTTTGCCAAGTTAGCACTCAAAATGGGAACCAGGTCAATTCTAGTAGTAGGCCTCGCAGTCGCTCAATTCGCGATCGGGTCAGCTCTACCATCATATAATGCATTCTTCCCCACCTCACTTCAATCATGTCTTAGTAAAACCGGTGCGGAGATAGTCTACCCCACCGACCAGACCTATGAGTCGCTGTCCAAGCCCCAGAACTCCAACTACCAGGCCTCTCCAGAGGTCATTGTCGTGCCCGCCTCCACCGAGCATGTCGCTGCGACTGTCAAATGCGTGGCCGTCAAAAAGGGCAATGTGACACTCAGTCCTCGGGGCGGAGGGCACAGCTATGCTGCGTATAGCTTCTCAGGCCAAGTGGTCCTCGACCCGAGTCACATGAGAAGGATCTCCATCGACGACGCGAGGAGGACAGCGACTGTGCAATTCGGGCAGACGCTGGGTCCGTTGGCGACAGCTCTCGGGAAAAGGGGCTATGCGTTGCCTCATGGCACTTGTCCCACTGTTGGTGTTGCGGGTCATTCCATGGGCGGGGGATGGGGGTTTCCGTCTAGAAAATGGGGATGGCTGGTTGATCGAAGTAAGTACTTTGATTCTATCTGCTGAGGGAGGAGTTCTAACGCATGTATTAGTTGTGGGACTTGAGTTTGTCGATGTGAACGGGAACATTAAGCAACTGAGCCCTAGCTCAACGGGACAGGATGCCGAGCTATGGTGGGCGCTGCGCGGTGCAGGGTCGAACAACTTCGGTGTGGTTACGGCGTTCACATTCTCACTGGAACAGGCCCCGGCAAACGTTGTCAACTACGAACTCTACTTTGGACCAGAATCAGATTGTGTTCAGGTCCTCTTGCAAGTCCAGGGGCTCGGTCAACTTCCCGCCGATAGTCCGGACGGACTCCCTCTTGACTTAGGGATCGAAGTCCTCCTCATGGGCCGAGACAACAACCAGGGCAGCGCCTGCATCCTACAAGGCCAGTATCTCGGCAAGCGATCCGCATATGAAACTGCCATGAACAAGATTCTACAAAAGCTTGCCGCGCGAGGCATCAAGCCCGTTCGATCCGAATCCAAGGTCAAAGAATTCAATAGCTGGGTTGCCGCACTCACCGACCTCATGGGTCCCTTAGAAGCACCGGATGCACCTCTGCCTTACTACGCTCAGTCCGCCATTGACAACGGTGCACCCGCATACGATAAAAACCAGGTGAAGCTCATATTCGACGGGCTTCGCGCAGCAAGACAAACCAAGGGCTCAGAGCCCGATGTGTCCTTCGACTTACTCGGTCCGGATGCGAAGACTAATCTTCCCACGTCGAGTGGTGATATGGCGTATATCCATCGGACGAGTCTATTCCTGGTTCAGATCTACTCAGCCTATTTCCCGGGGTTTGGGGATTCTGCGGCCCGTCAAGATGCAGTGAATAAGGTTACCAGGATTACGAGTGCTGTGAGGATGCCGAGGCCCGGTAGTGAGTGGCACTCGTATCAGAATTATATTGATCCCCATTTGGCGAACTTTGGGCGCGAGTATTATGGTGGTGCGTTAGAGCGGTTGAAAGCGATCAAGGCTGCGGCGGACCCTGATGTGGTTTTTGACTTTCCTCAGGGGTTGAGTCATGTATGATAATGGATTTGGTCTGGGGATTATCGGATGCTTTCCTACCAATTTCTTAGATTATGGTATCCTGAGGAATTCATCCGGTTGTGCATTATTGAAAACAAGAGAATAAGAGCCACTGCCTCTCTCGTGTGAAGATTCCAAACAGGGGCCGCCTGGTCCTCAATTCATATGTGTACAAAAATATGAAACCAATCTGATTTTTACGTTACAAAACTGCGGACGGGCCGTCGCTGAGTGGCTGGAACTTGACTTCTGATTAGGGCCCGATCGTGTACTGTTTACTGGTGGCAGTACTGGTTAGTCGTTGGTGGGCTGAACTAGGATATATATCCATCACATGGCCCTGTGTCTCCTGAAGCTTTGAAGAGTTTTCTGAATAATCAAGGTAGTTTCAACAATTCCAAGGCAGAAGAAAAAAGACATAAAGCGTATTCATTCGATGGCTCCCTATAGCTATGGCAGTACATTCCCTATCAAAGGTTAGAATGTTTACTCGAAATCCGAGCTGAGATTCTGGAATGGGGACAGAACCTAGAAAGAAAAGCTTACAGATTACTTCAACGGTTCCGGAACATTGGGCCTTGCCGTTATAACCAATAAAAGCGCGCATTTATAGCCTCCAGGCATGAGTGGGCTAAGCTTTGCGGCGGTATCGGCCAGGGGGAAGAATGTTATATGGCCGCATAACCAGGGACAACTGCTGCACAGAGTTGTGTCGATCATTGTGTACGCTGCAAAGCTAGAGGCAGTTACAGATATAACTCTGTCAGTCATACTTTAAGAGATCCAGAACAAGTTGTCAGACCTGTCGGTGACTGCTGCCCTAAGCACGGCGAGAGCAAGACCGCCAAATACTGAAGGGACTTGGGGTAGGCCCGACATGTCAAATGTGACAAAGTACCCGGCGCATGCTTCAACTGTGCCTCCACGAAACTGAAATGAGAGGGATACGACCAGAATCGATTACCGCAGGTGATTGCGCGCGGACAAAACTCGAGTCTCGTGCGGAGTCCCACCATTCGTGTGGCGCATTTGAGTTCCGATGAACGGCATGCTTTCGCCTTGTTCCAAAGGAGAACCGTGCCGATTATGACAGAAACTTGATTCAACGTTTTGGTACCGATGAGTACTGCAGTTGAGTCAAGCCGAGCCAGCCATCTGCCATGCAGTCATTGTGTTGAGCGCGGTGCACGAGTGCTCCTGGAATAAAGGCACGAACTTACAAACGCTACGCGACATCTATCACCGCTTCATACTCGCTCAATATAATAAAGCGTCGCCAAGCTGCACCTGCGCCCCAGATCCCATGGTTTGCAGGTCTATACCATCGTACTGTTGTGTTGCATGGCCTTTGTCACTTTGGAGCTGGTGCAAGGGAATATCACCGTAGCTTCTTACATTTGTAGCAAGGGCTAAACATCCTGCGAAGCCCAGCCTGTGACACTGGCCACATCTCCGAGGCCCGCCCGCCAAAACGTAGAACCACCACCATTGGGAGCATTTGTGAACATGGAACGCACTGCGGGCAACTTCGACCTGTGCGATTTTGGGCTGAAGATCCAGTAAACCACCAGGCCGTTGACAGTTCATAGCCCACGACCAACACTATTGGGCCCATAGTGCGCATCATCAATGATATCATGCTATTTCAATCTTACTACGAGCGCGCCACTCAGGAACCCTTAGCATTCGCCACGCTGGCCATCTCAATGGAACGGTGCCATGTTTTTTCGTAGTCGACGAGTTATTCGAGGCTTGGATTTTTGGAAACAGATCGAGCTCCATTTTCCTTATCAACAATGCTCAGACCGTTAGTGTAAGCCTTCCTACTGAACCAGAGTACGTATTGGATTATTCAATGCGCTCTTTCCAGGTTGAGATTTGCAGGCAGAAAATGGGTAAGGTATAACCTAACCTAACCGACCTCAGTTAAGGTACAAAAGTCCACTAACCTAGATAGGTTAAAGCTAGAAGGAACCACGGTTAACATTGGATGCCTGACACGGCGTCAAGGCGTCGAACTAATCCTATATAGGAAGGCAGTCACGCAGGGGTTTCCAAAAATACTAGCAGAGAATGGTTAGCCCTAGTTCACCGCTTGACTAAGTAGGATGAAGTTGCCGCCTCAGGCAGAGCTAGGTTAAATGTTAATCACAGAGGAACAATATATATCTACACTCAACCACGGTGAAACAAGCTAGGAACAACCAATTGAATCCATTAATCAAACCAAACATGACCATACACTAGTCTGAGTAAAAATCCAGCGTGATTTCCCTCTGACCCGTTCCTCTCTCCCCTTAAAGGGATGATTCGAGATGCACCGGCCTTGTGTTCTCTGACCATGTTGCCAAAGCGTGTTCCTCCGCATTCCATCCCCACAAACGCTGCTGAGTTTCTGCATCAGCCCATTTGTCCGGGTTGGCTGCACTCTTCATGCTCGCAAGGAACTGTTCATCGCGAGCCTTTTGCTCGGGACCATCGGGAAGATGTAAAATAGTACTGTTAGCCATTCCCGATTGCTGGATTGCCTCAGCGCGTGGTTTACGGGACATCTCGTAGGCCCGAAGCGCCTCAGGAATGGCATGCCGAGAGGGTATAACAGATAGGAGAATAGCCAAGGCGGCCGCATCCTCAACAGCTTGAGCGGCACCTTGCGCAACATATGGTCTAGCTCCCGATCAGCTTTCATGTTTCTTGCTGAACAACATCAACAGAGGAAGGACGGGACCAAGACTTACAGCATCGGATGACAAGCATCCCCAAGCAGCGCAACACGGCCTTTTGTCCACGAATCTAGGCTTGGGTAGCTGCACAGCTTCCACTCCAGGACCTCGTCTTCTTTGACGAGATCGAGGAGCTTTAGCACCGTTGTGTCCCAGCCATGATAATGACGCAACATACTTTGCTTGGATGCCGTCGTAGTCCATGACTCTTCTACTTCATGATCGTCTGGATGAAGTAAGACAATATTAAACAGCTCATGGTTACGCACGGGATACGCGATAATATGACGATGTGGCCCAATCCAGCGAGTAGCGCTGGGACTATCCAACAAGGCTTTCAACTCCGGGTCCTGCTCCATCACTTCTCGTGACAGCATGATGCGGTAGGCGGCATCCCCCGTTGGAATGGGCTGCATCGCCAATGGCCCCAGGATCTCCCCGCGGAGCACTGATTTGATCCCATCGGCTGCCACCACCACATCACCCGTTACCACCGTGCCATCCACTAGCGTGACGGCAGCTGGGTGGTAGGACTTGATGCCCGTAACACGGGAGTTTACCTTCAGCTGCACATTCTCCAGCGCCAGAGCCTTGGTGATGAGCGCGTTATGCAGATCGGCACGATGCACGACTGTCTGTTGCCCGTAAGCCATATTAACAGGCATTGTGCTGAGGATGCCACCATCCTTCCAGCGGCGAATAGTAATGCTTTCGAGTGCTATGTCCTTGGCATGTACCATGGAAGATACTCCCCATTCTAGCGGCCCAGCCAAGAGGGGAGAGGTTTAGCCTCAAGATGTACTTAAGATACCTGCACCTAAAGGACTTACGATCAAAAAGACGTAGCATATTAGGCGATGCTTGAATTCCGGCACCAACTTCCATCAACTACAAGTCCCACGTGATGATAATTAGTTCTATCACCCAGATATTCTGTTCCTGTTATCAGCTGCAGTGAGGGGCACGCACCTTTGGGGCCGATTCCAAGATAGTAACATGGTGACCGCGCAAGCCTAAGGCCAGTGCTGCTGCCATACCACCAATCCCTGGATTTTATATCAGACGACATTTGTCTATGAGACTTGAAGAGACGCACCGGCTCTGAGTTGCGTGTAACATACGAGTCAATGCAGGAACCGGAATCAAGGGAATAGATGGTATCGTACCCAACAATGACAACTTCAAGAGCTGTCTTCGCCTGAGGTACAATCATGGTGCCAATCAAAGGAGGGAATAATCAAAATTCAAGAGTTGTGGCAGACCTGGCGGACTGGAGGAGGAATTGATACAGCGAAAGAGGCCATCTACATTTTTTTGTCGAGTTCAAGCACGCGGACAAGAGTCTTATATACTAATGCTGATATTCTTACTTTAACCTGCAAAATCTCTTCTCACCGGCTTTTCTATCCAATTTGTTCCCCTTGGCTCCTTCCCCTCTCAATTTTGATATTGTCGGCAATTTCTCACTCCCGGAGCTGTAGTCGGTAGTAGTTGCAAAGGATGTCTAGCATCGACTAGGCCGAGATAGGCAACTTTATCAACAAAGTCTGCCCTGAGGCATGGTTACAATTGATCTTGACGGTGGGATCTGGGTATAGTTTATCTTTCGGCTGATGAGGGCTCATGGTAGGTTCGGCAAACTGCCGAGAGATTCCCTTTTGGCTGACGTTATTGAACGGCTAAGCGAGATTTCTAAGGGACGGCTCGCGGACGGACCAGAACAGGGCGCCCCACCAGCTAAAGCCTAATTACCGTGACTGGCGGCTGAAACGATGAGTCGGTCTAAATACCTACTATAGTATAGGTGTATATGCAGTGATATACTAGTGAGCCATCGTTCCTGGACATCTGATTGGCTCCGCTTCCACCCCTCAGCAACACCAATCTGAGGCTAATGGCAGCATGCAAGTCCAGACGGTGTTGCTGAACGGCCCCCCAACTCTGTATTGTTCATGAGACGTCTATTCTCGGTAAATTCTCAAGGCCCAGGAGTCATATTTGCCGATATATCGACCGTGAGTCTTGAAGTCTCCCGTCCAGCTGCTAACTAACGACACAGGCTATTACTAGTCCAACAACGAACGTAGATTATCTAGAGACCACTGGGATGATGGTGGCATCTGAGTCCTGCTATCCTAATCTTGCCAAGCGATCGGAACGAAAAAACGGACTGACCTCTTCTTCGGCGAAACCGTCAAGTATTTAACCTGTCTCGTCGGAAGGATGTCGTCAATGGCAGAGAGAAGATACACAGACACCTGCGAGCGGTCCTAGATATCTGAGTTTGCCCTTCTGTTCTCGCCATGCCTCCTCTGATCCCATACCATGTCTCTGCCGGGAGTAATCCTGTCGTCAAGTGCGTTATTGCTTTCCCTCCTCTTACCACCGTCCGTATTAGGTTTTCCGGACGTCCATTAACTTCTCCCCTGCTAGGTTTGGAGGCGCCCTTGTTACCGAATTCTTGGAACCCCCGCCGGGTCGGTGCTTCTGCTTCCGTCAAAAGTACAGCCTGAAGCCTCCCATTGACGAAGGGGACCCGGACTATGAACGGATCAATGCAGCACTGAATCACCCCTCCGGCCCTCCCCTCCACTTCCACCCCTTCCAAAACGAATATTTCCGGGTCGAACAAGGACGTATGTGCCTTGAAGTCAATGGTGAGACTCGCATTCTGACGCCCGAAGATGGAGAGGTCCAGGGCCGGGCCGGGTCCATCCACCGGTTCTACATCGCCCCTGACAGCACCGAAGACATGGTCATTATCCTCAGTGCCTCCGATCCCGGTCTGGACTACCAACTTGATCGCGTTTTCTTCGAGAATTGGTATGGTTTGTGGCATGATTACCTGGTGCACGAGGGCAAGATGGATTTCATCCAATTACTCTGCGTATGTTCTCTTCTTTTTCCTTTTCGTTTTGTTTTTGGATTTTATTGAGACCACACTCATCCCTCCCCCCAACTGCTACTCCTTCCTCGAGCCGACAGAGAGTTAACGGGTCGGTGTGAATAGACATATGATGCGGGGGATGCGTATCTTCTACCTCCAGCCTGGGTACCGAATTGCTTGCGAAAGACGATCGGGTACTGGGGCGGAATCATTGTGGGGCGTTGGATTGGGGGTCTGCTGGGCTACCGGCCGTTCTTCAAGGAGTATACCACGGACTGGGAGTACGCCGTGAAGAAGATGGAGTCATCTTTCTTCACACGACGGCTGGTGGGGCGTTCGTTCTCCTCCGCCCTCGATTGGGCGCAGCTGGAGGAGTGCGCACGTGCGTGGGGGGATGGAGGAGGCACCGATCGCTTCGTCAAACCTCACTCCAAGCTAGTAGACTAGCTATGTCAAATTCTAAAATCAAAATGCTCCCGAGAACTCATGGAACGTAGTATGCAAGTCGGCTAGTCGGTTCAGTAACAGATTGAGATCCAACGGCGAGAACCAATCCCAGGGCCCCGGAGCAAAGCGTGATCGCCGGCCGCATCTCACGTAACTTCTGTGTAAGCAGAAGGAATCACGCCACCCAGCGGGTTTTCCCGAATCTAGACCCAATGGGGCAGCTCTGCGTCCAAACTGGGAGGCTTGGTCTTGGCAAGCTAATTTAAAAGGAAATACGTGTGGACCCTCCAGCAGTCCGCCGCCTTTCCAGGGAACGCGATTGGCTGGCTCCTCCGCATGTTCCTATTGGACAGGAACCCACTCGTGATAATGGGTCAGGTGAGGTCAGTGACTGATTGGGCCTGATGCTACTTTATTCCACAATGGACATACTTGACGCTACTTCACCTCTGCCGCCATCTCTATATCATCGTCAATTTTCAAATTGCATTGAACTCCGTCGTGCCGTCCCCTGGGTCTAGCAATCACTGCCGATCCCCCCACCCTCTCGTAATGCTTTACAATTTCGTATCGATACGCTCCACACCACTCGTCAAGCGGAGAAAAGTGCGCCGGGCATGCGACTTCTGCCGTCAGCATCGCGTCCGCTGTGATGGCAGATTACCCTGTGGCCAGTGTGTTACGAACAAGGTGCCATGCAACAAGCCTTCGCAGCATTCACACTCACATCCACATCCGAATGCACATCCACGCCCCTCCTCATCTGGAAATCGAGAGTTGCAGCCGTCAGGCCCATCTGGCTTCCCACACGCCCAGCCTGCACCTCCCTCCGCCCCGAACCAGGCGGTCCCAGGCCAGCAAGTGAGGCCCCGATTAAGTCCGCCGCGGACTCCATCGATACATCATGCTGCTGTCGCTCCTCTTTCACGGCACTTGGACTCCTTCGCCAGCTTCATCTCTCGCGTGAATAATTTCTGCTCCGTGGTGTCCCAGATGTCGACCCGACCGTCTCCTCAACCCACCGAAGCAGCCCCTGCAGACGTTCCGTGTTCGTCACGAGACTTGCGAGGGGGAGTAGAGCCAGTTCTTGCACAGCTAACTCCGGACAGCCTAAACGAGCTTCAGGAAACACTGTTCGATATTTTCTGGACTCGATATCATTTCCTGATGCCGATCGTCAGTGCAGAGGACTTGGCGGGAATGTTGGATGGACGCTCGGAGCCGTTGCGACAGGCTGCTATGGCCTACTGTTTGCAATCGATCTATCATGCTGGGCTTCATAACCGCTTGCTGGGCATCCAGAAGGGCATGGTATCATCCGGTGATGTGGAGAATCCTTCTCAAAGCCCTCTGGTAGCGAAACTGTTCGTGACATTATTCCAACAAGCACTGGCTACAAATAATGCCTATATCATTTACGCAGAACCGACTATGGCAGATGTGCAGCGGCATCTCTTCATGGCTGCCTTCTTACTGAACTCGGGAGAACATCAGGCGGCATATAACATAATGGGTGTAGCCATGCGACTCACGCAGTCCCTCGACCTACAGCGCCTCCCAAGAACACATCTGCCGCCACAAGAGGTGGAAACACGCCAGCGAATCTGGTGGAAGTTGGTTCATCTCGATTTCCATTGTTCCCGCCTGCTAGGAAAGCCGATGGCGGTCTCCTTGAATGACAAGACAATTACCGTGCCGCATCCGACACCAGAGTCCTCTGTGACCGCTCCCGACCTCAGTTACTACTCAGCGTCGATCTCACTGACTGTGACGGCAAGACAAGTGGCGAAGTCGCTGGAGGATCACTTGCATGCTGTATCAGAAACAGTCGACTCGGTCACCAAGATCGAGCGTTATGCGCACTATCTGTCGCGGGAAATTCAGCACCTATATCAATGGAGAGATCGGATCCTGGAAGCAAAACTGTTTCCCAATATCACCCTTGCCTGTGGAGCTTACCAACCCGACGCAGTGGCTGCTACCCAGGATGGGCTAAAGCAGGATCATGATGCAAGGCTGTCATTTCACCTGGCCCCGGCGGTGATCCTACAGCGAACCCTCCTGGAGCTCCAGTATCACGACATTGTCCTGTGGGTTCATCATTCATTCATCCAGTTTCCGAGTCGTGGCTTGGTGCCGCAGCGGAGTCCACAAGCCGATGTGCACGCCACCACCGCAATACAACATGCGCTCACCGTCACCGACCTCATCCATCTTCGGATGCTCTATCATGATGGTCTTTATGGATGCTCCGAGGTCTACCAGTACCTGTGGAATGCCGTTCTGACCCTTATCGGGTTTATGCTGGCCTACCCCTTATGCTACTGGTTCCCTCTTGCCCAGCAGCATGTCGAACGGTCCCTCCAGATCTTCGAGGCAGCAGGACCAGTCAACCCGATTGCATCTCGAGCTGCTCATCTGACACGGTATCTGCTGGGGCGGGTCAGTGCCCTGATGGAGTTGCTCAGTTCGCAATCGTCAGCCCCGAATGATCGGAATGATGGTCGGGGCGTGCAAACCTTCGATCTGGTCGAACCCGAGAAGCAGCACCAGCACCAGCAGCCTACCTCGATCACATGCGAGGATGATGCGTTATGGTCCTGTGCAGATACTGTTGACCCCAATATTTGGTATGGGTACTGCCACGAAATCAACGATATGCTGATGGATGTGCCTGAGATCCCACTAGGTACTGAGTTTTTCACGTCGTAACTACGATTCTTGGTATTTATTCCCAGTATCATGCTCGTAATTCATACAGCCTTAACAGGTTCATTCTCCGAGTCTAAAATCTATGGCATATTATAAATCATGTACATAAAATCGGGTTACCAGATATGCTCCACCAATGAGAAGGGAGCCAAACCAATCTCAAGAACCGGGATAAGTAAGTCCCCCGGTCAGATGAATTGACCCACCGTCAGCTTATCCGACGAAAAAAATTCCGATTGCCGAGCTTCGAGCTCTGCGAGATCCCAATTGCAGGAGAGGTGGCGCCCATTGAGGTATTGCGGACGTTTCGCTGCCAGGTATACGGTCACAGCACTCGGTAGCTCCGCTATTTGAAACATTAGAATATAATTGTTACGATCGCACAGGTTGCTTCTTGAAGCAGAGAAGTGGTTTTGGAACTTACGGGTATCCTTGGCAAATGGCTTAAACCCATCCAGCGTCATGCTAGTGAGGACGATGCCCGGCGAGAGACTGTAGGCGGCCACCCGGGGGTTTTCCGCTGCAATGAACTCGGTGAATTTGGCCACCCCAAGCTTACTGATGAAGTAGCTGCTCAGTCCCGGTGGAGTCAGGGCAATCGTCGAGATCAAGTTCACCACGGTTGGTTGAAAGTCCGCGGCCTCATCCGCAATCAAACGCAGGTATGCCGCCGTCATCAGATATGTCCCCCGTACGTTGACCTCAAAGTCCTTCCACCATGTGGTGGAGTCGGACTCGGCCACGGGCGCCACTGAAGCGAAGACGCCGGCATTGTTGACCAGGGTGTGTACTGCGGTTCCAAACTTCTCCTTGATAGTCACAAAAGTCTGTTCCAGTGCCTTCTCATCTGTAATATCTGTAGGTAGGGCCAGCACCTCGACGGCGGGGAATTCCGCTTCCACAATAGCCTTCGTCTCTTCAGCTGACTGAGCAGATTGGGTAATGAGAACCAGTCCCTTGACCCCGGCCTGTGCGTGAGCTCGTGCAATGGCCTGTGGAGAATTGGGAACGTCAGCTGTGCTTCCTTCGGGCACGGAACAGAGGTCATTCTTACTCGTCCAATTCCTTTTCCTGCCCCCGTGACAATCGTTACTTTGCCCGCTTGGGAGAGGTCTGACCGTGTGGGATCAATGGTGGGATAGACATCGCGGTAGTAGTCCTTGGTAATAGACCCTGCGCGGGTGAACTGATCAGGATCAATCTGGGAATCAGACATGGCAAATGGAGGGAATTGGGAGAAATTGTGATGAATCTTTGTGCAACAATCTTGGGGAAGCCGAGAATTTTGCTTTTCTCCTCCTGCGTCGCTTCTGCTATTTATCTCTGCGCCACGATGTTATCCGCGACTCCACGGTGGAGCCCGTCGCAGCCCTCCCCCAGTCTAACCATAAGGGGCAACTATTGCTCCATTTGGTAACCCGACATCAGTGCCCTTGATATGATGCTTGGACACTTTTAAAAGTCCTCTCAATAGGTCGCTCTACGGAGAAACTCAGTCTCGAAATCTGGATTCTCAGCACGTCAATCTCTGCATCATGGAATCCTCGAGTGACACGAAGGAGTACGACTCCAGCGAAGAGACTCAGCAAGATGCAGAGATCGACCAACTGGTCGATGATTTTCTTAAACGCCAGACTACCACAGAATCGGAACGTTTGGGTGACATAATCTTAAAGGATCTGTCTGTCATAGGAGCCGGAGCCGGGGTTTGCTTTCCTATACACTCGCATTTCCCTTGATGTGCCGCGTCACTAACTTCACCAGCATCAACGGATGCATAACGTCCCTGAAACATTGCAACGGCTGTCGAAGCTCGCCAACCCAGCGACCTGGTTCTCTAGGAAGCCTCCTCCATCCCGGGCAATCCTCCAGCGTCTGACTGGTACGATTCGACAAGGTGAGATGTTGATGGTTGTTGGCCGCCCCGGCAGTGGATGCACCACCGTTTTGAAAGCCCTGGCGAACATAAGGGATGAGTATTTGGCGATGGAGGGCGATGTATGGTATGGGCCAATGGATGCGGGGACCGTCAACCAGACCAGAGCCAACCAAGTGGCCTTCGTGGGTAAGAGAACCGCTGCACCATCTATGCAATCTTGCACAGTGCTAAAGAGGCGCATGGAAACGTTACAGGAGAGGACGACATCCACTTCCCAACATTATCAGTCGGCACCACGCTCAAGTTTGCTCTCAATACCCGCCGTTCAACCTCCGACCCGGATCGCGCTAAACACCTCCAACAAGACCTACAGACTGTGCTTGAACTCATGGGACTGGATCATGTAGCACAGGTCCGCATCGGGAGTGACCATATTCGTGGAGTGAGCGGCGGTCAACGTCGTCGGGTATCTCTGGCTGAGGCACTGTGCACCCGCGCAAGGTGAGTGAACCTCCAAACATTTGCGACAACTGAAAGGCATTCACTAACCGTACCATCACTCAAGTCTGTTTTGCTTTGACAATCCTACGCGAGGCCTGGACTCATCAACCGCCATTCGCTTTTTGACCACCATGCGCAAATACACCACACGTAGTCGATGTATGACCGCGATGTCTCTCTATCAAGCTAGCGATGCGGCAGTCGCACTCTTCGACAAGGTTCTGGTCTTGAATGACGGGCGTGTCGCATACTACGGCCCGGCAACTTCAGCCAAAGCTTACTTTGAGTCCCTTGGGTTCTACTGCTCTCCAAGGATTTCGGTCTCTGATTTTCTGGCATCCATGTCTGCAGCCCCAGAAGGTCGGACCCCTCGAACAGATCTTGACCGGCCGGTGCCAATTCACCCGGCTGACTTTGAGACCCGGTTCAGGGAGAGCAGCTTTTACTTGCAGACAGTGAGTGAGGCCGCAAAGCCACCGCAATCCACAGCAGGGGGCAAATTAAGAGCGTCGGGGTACGCTCTGCCGCTGTACCGTCAGGTATATGAGTGTACAGTCCGCCATTATCAGATCTTTTTGACCGACCGGGCCGCCTGGATCGCTGAGGCAGCCGGGACGATTGTGCAAGCTCTGCTTTTAGGTACCCTGTTCCGCAATCAGAGACCCGTGACGCAAGGGCTATACACGCGCGCCTCGGCCCTCTTCTTCTGCGTCCTCATTATGGGTTTACAGGCTTCTGCCGAATTCGGAAATACGTTTGTCCAGCGCCCAATCCTGCTCAAGCAGAAGGCTTTGCGGTTCTACCGTCCGGGCGCCTACGCGCTCGGCCAGATTCTCGCGGACGTACCCTGGAAATTTATCTTCATCTTGTACTCACTCCCCATCTACTGGATGATTGATTTCCAGCGCACAGCGGGGCATTTCTTCACCTGGCTGGTCTGCCTCTATATGGGCCTAATGGCACTGAGCGTCATGTTTCGGGCTATTGCCGTCTTCACTAACTCCATCACTCGAGCCATTCTCCCTGTCGGGCTTTTGCTCAATGTGTTCATTATATATACGGGTTTTTACATCACTCCCCCAGGCATGAAGGTCTGGCTTTTTTGGATCCGCTACCTTGATGTGAGTAAGAACCAACAGATGCAGAATGCGTGCCTCAGAGTGTGCTAACCGTCTGCCATTCTAAACCAGCCGATGTACTATATCTTCGAGTCTGTTTCTCTCAATGAGATTGGGACTAGCTCCTATCAGTGTAGCAGTCAGGACATCGTTCCCCGAGGAGCGGCATACAATGAGACTAGTTATCAGGCTTGTGCAGTGTCTGGGTCTGTCTCTGGTGAACTGACCCTTGCCGGGAGGCTCTATCTAATGGCCGAGTATGGCTTCGAACACACGCACTTGTGGCGAAATGTCGGTATTAATGCCGCATTCTTCGTCTTCTTTTCGGCTGTGGTAATGTGTGTTTCTTTCCTTCTCGACAAATGTATAGTTCAGCAGGATAGACGCTGACTTTATTTGTACATACAGGATTGGAATGGAACGATTCCATCATGCGGCTGAACACATGTCAACGATATTTTACCGAAGGCTACCGTCCTGGGTGAAAGCATCGCCCTCGCGCTCTAAGGACATCGAGGATCCAGCATGTGTCACTGAGACGAAGGAGTCCAAGCCTAGCTCCAACCACGATGTGACAGTGATCGGCCGTCTAGAGACGACCCAGAGTGTGTTTACATGGCAAGAACTATCACTTCAGCTCGACGACAACAAGCGTTTGCTACACGAAGTTTCAGGTAAGGCCTCCCTGGGTTAGTGTTCGGAGGGAGAAGGCGTCTCATCAATTTATCTTTCTCATAGGGTGGCTTGAGCCCGGAAAGATGACTGCATTAATGGGTATGTCTGGTGCAGGCAAGGTAAGTAATGTGCAAACTCATTGGGACGCTGTGTGCATATAGAGCCCCCAGGCTGACAGAACCGGTGTCTGTACAGACTACACTCCTTGATACCCTCGCTCAGCGAATCCAGATTGGGCGCTTATCCGGAGGGCTCTATCTGAACGGGCAGAGTCTTCCGGCATCGATGGGACGGCGCACAGGATTTGTCCACCAAAACGATATCCACCTGGCATCATCCACGGTTAGAGAAGCTCTCCAGCTGAGCGCACGCCTCCGTCGTCCGGCAACGGTTTCCTGGGACGAGAAGATGGGACATGTGGAAATGCTGATACAACTCTTAGAGATGGAGGATATTGCCGAAGCCATGATCGGAGTGCCAGGGGCGGGATTGAATCTCGAACAGCGCAAGCGCGTCAGTATCGGAGTCGAACTAGCTGCGAAGCCGGACATTGTTCTGTTTCTCGACGAGCCCACGTCCGGCTTGGATGGTAATTCAGCCCTCTCCATCGTACAACTGATGCGTAGGCTCTCCGACGCTGGCCAGACGATCCTCTGCACGATTCACCAACCCTCTGCCCAGATGATTGAACAGTTTGACAACTTGCTTCTGTTGGTGCCCGGCGGCAAGACAGTTTACTTCGGCCCGTTGGGCTCCCGGTGCCAAAAGATCCTGGATTACTTCGCTCGCTATACGCGGCGCTGCGGAGAGACCGAAAATCCGGCGGATTACCTTTTGGCAGTTAGCGCCGAGCCTGATGCAGACTGGTTTGAGGTATGTTGTACTATCCCACCCGCTTCCCTACCCCGTCAGTGTTGTTGTCTCAATCAATCACGCGAGTCTGACCTTCTCGATGAAATAGACTTGGCGGCAGTCGCCTGAGTATGGTTCCACACAAGAGCAACTTCACAAATTGCTCCAGGTGCAGGAAGCCAAGGAGTCATCGTCAGAACCTGATCGGACATATGCAGCCTCTTATCTCGACCAGCTCCGCGTGGTCACGCAACGCGCTTTCACAAATTACTGGCGTGACTCAGACTACGTGCTAGGCAAAATCCAGCTCAACATCTGGATGGGACTGATGAATGGGCTCACTTTTCTTCAGCTGTCCAACGATCTGACAGACTCCCGCGGACGGATGTTTTCAATCTTCGTCGGTGTGATCACGGGTCCCGTACTCAGTCTCCAGATTGAACCTCGCTTCATCCTCCTCCGCGATCAATTCCTGGCGCGGGAGAATGAGTCACGCGTGTACCACTGGAGCATCTTTACCGTCAGCGCACTGCTTGTGGAGATTCCGTTCACCCTCCTGGGCGGGCTGATCTACTGGCTTCTCTGGTACTACATGGTCGGCTACCTCACCGTGTCGACCCGCGCGGGGTACGCCTTCCTCATGTACGAGCTGTACTCACTGTTCGTCGCGAGTCTCGCTCAACTGACTGCCTCCCTCTTCCCCACTATCCTCGCTGCACAGGTGGCGACGGGGTTCGTCTGGCTGGTCGTCAATACCTTCAACGGGCCCCTGTCGCCGCCACCTCTGACTCCGCGTGGATGGCGGTGGTTTTACAATATTTCCCCCTTATTCTACTTCATCGAGGGGATTGGTACCAACGCCATGCATGCTCTTCAAATTATATGCCGTGACTCCGAGCTCACCACTTTCCAGGCGCCCGCGGGGGAGACATGTGCCTCCTACACGGCCGAATTCTTTGGCCTGGCTAGTTCTACAGGTTATCTGGTTGATCCCAATGCAACGGGCTTGTGCGAGTATTGTGCCTATGCCAATGGAGATGAATATGTCAGTATTCCTTTTTCAGTTCATCCTCTTTTCTGAAGAAAGCTAATGATTTCTTTTTGATCATATAGGTCAAGCAATATGACATGAGTTATTCACAACGTGGCAATAATGTCGGCATCTTCATTGGGTTCATCCTCTTCAACTACACCATGGCGGTGCTGGCGACATACCTCATCTTTATCTTCAAATGGCGGAAACGCCGATCGACATGATTATCGACAATACCTTCGAGTCATGAATTTTCGATCACCATATCGATTACTTAGGCATGTTTGCGCACAAGAGAGAATACGAGATATAACGAGGAACGGATACAAATGTAGGATAAGACTGACAAATGGAGGCAGAGAGAGGGCGATATATTGCCATGTACACAGCTACTTTTCACACTCCGTGCAACATCCTATCTCCTCACCTTTATAGG